GCAATGAAATCATCAAATAAAAATGATAGATGATTAGATATAAGTGAAATAAGAATACATAGCAAATGGAGACGTGCGCCATATTCATCCTGTTGATGACACATATGAGCGAGTATTTTATGAGGATATAACTATTGTGATATAAATCGAAAGAATAGAGGTCAATGTCCCCAATTGTTTTCTTTTAGGCTTCCTTGTTAATATTAACAGTTGACACCGGCATCAATAGACATACTTTAACAAATAGTAAGAAAAACGGAAAAAAATTATTTTTTTTCTTTGCTTATCGATTCACGAATTATACGTGAATCAGATATAAGCTTTAGTTTTCTTTCTTATTCATTTGATTAGGAGAGAACGGTAAATGTATTAAGAGAATGTTTAACTACAATCAAAAAAAAAAACAACGACGACAAAGCAAAGAATATATCATTGATGCGTATATCTGTTCTTGTGACTGATGAATGATATCTTTCTTCTAGATATATATATATATATTTAATTCTGTTTGTTTCCATCTTGATCACGAGTAGTATGTTGACTGAAAATAATTTCCATCATCATAATGGCGGCTCTGTAGTTCCTCAACATCGTATACATTATGCTCCGTATCAACATCCATCATATTCAGGAAAATCATCACAACAACAAAATGACTTACAAATACCAAAATTTGATTTACATCATGCTGTTCGAACAAATGATGTTGCAGGTATAGTACGTTTACATAGTCGTCTTCGACAACAGCCAACTGTAGCTGATAATTGTTTACTTGATTCAAATGGACATACACCACTTTATACAGCTATTGCTAATGGACGACTTTCTATGGTTGATTTACTTCTTCATCTTGGTCATAATCCCGTAAGTTTATTGAGTAGTATCGTTTATACTAAATGTGTTTTATTTAGTATTGCATATCAGTGGCCCGTGAATCGGCATTAAATGTTGCTATAGGTTATGGTCGTTTAGATATAATTGATTATTTATTATCACGTGGCTTTCCTATTGACTATGCTGGATTTGAAAATAAGACACCATTAGAACGAGCTATTGAGTGTAATCAAGGTTTAGTTGTTGTTACTTTACTTAAACATGGTGTCGATTGGCGTCATTATGATGAACAACGTAAAACAGGTGATATGTCACTTATTGAATGGGCACTTGCACATGAACATCCACAAGTCTTAGGCGTACTTATTGATCTTTATGGCGATGATGAATCTGTATTCAATCAAATTGGCATGTTGTAAAGAAAAACACAAATTATTTTGTATGTAAATATATAAATATGTGTATATCAACCAAACCACGTTCAGGTACCTAATAATTTTAATTGTGTGTATTGTAAATAGACAAGGACAGCTCATTAGCCCCGGTTTTGTCTCATTAGATCATATATGTTTCATTGCTTCACAATCAACATTGATCGTTGTTTGTTTCTATTTGTGTATATCATTTTAAAAAAAAGAGGCAGTTTAATGTATATAAAGTATATTCTATTCATTACAAAGTGTCATTGTTTCATCTGTGATCTTCGTTTTTTTTTCTTTTTTTCTTTTTATGTTGTATATTTATGATGAAGAAGAGAAAAACAACAGAATAATTCTTTCATTTGTATAAAATTTAAAAAAAGATATGTGTGTATGTATATGTGTGACTATTTCGCTTGTACATAAAACAGCACTATATAGATCGATTTCTACTTTGGCCCTTTCGTTTCACCTATTTCTTTTTTTTTCTGTATAGTCTCGTTTTTTTTTTCTGTGTGCATTCGTGTGTTTTTTGTTCTCTAGGAAAAAAAAAGACAGAAGGAAGCGAGGTGGTTACCTTTGAAAAAGTATTCATGTTTTTTTATAATTTAAAGGCAAACAACAAATATTTTTCAATTGAAATATTCAATCAATGATTTTCTAAAGTAAAGAATTTCTGATTAATCATGAAATTTTAGTGGATAATATCTCGTTTTATAAATAAGAAGAAAAGAAAAGTTTTTAAGCACCACAAATGTTGACTTCATTATTATTTCTGTAATTATTTCAAAATACCATTTGTTCATCGAAACAGATTATTATAATCGTATTTTGTATAAGTCTTTTTTTATAGAAACATGATTCTTATGTAAGAGGAATTTTTTTCTATATTTATTTGAGCACGAAAGATTATGAATACGGAAGTTTGAAGACATTTTTCTTGTTAAAGGTAATTTGAACAATATTAACATATAATAATTTGAATTGTATTCAACCTTTTTTTTTTTGTCTGTTTACTCTAGTGAAAAAGAGTATCTGCTAATAGAAAAATCTGATTCTATTGTTTAAACCCCAAAAACCGAATCACTTCTGTTGATTTAAAAAGTAAAAACTCGCTTGAATAACTTCCGTCACCTGTTTGAGTGAATTTTTTCACGTGAACTGAGTATAATTATCAGAATTTCATTAGTTTGAATATTTTTAAAATTCTCATCGACATTTGTTCGTCAAAACTTACCGTATTATATATATATATATCTTAATAAGATGTAAGAAAATTTAAAAAAGATTCATATGTCTGATTTGTTCTATTTTTCAATTAGGATTACTGTAGTAGAACTTCAAAGCTAAATGTCATAGTCACCTTGAAAATCTGTTTTCGACTGCAAAATTTGCATCAATAAGAGTAGTTTGTTTTGAAAATATCTAATTCTCTTGAATTTTCTATCGTCAAAGACAGAGGTTGAAAATTCTATTATGCGAAAAAGTAAAGCTTGACATGGCTTGTCTATTGAAAGATAGAATAGGAGACACTAGAAAGTTTGACATTTTTACAATGAATTAGTCTCGTTGAGAACTTTATGAAAAATTAATCATAATCGAAGAAGAAAGACTCATAATGACGAGTTATTTAAGTTGTTCTGTCATTTTAATGAGACTTACCTAATGAGGCTTAAGATTTATTTCAAAAGTAATTCATCCCTTGGCAAGGTCATTTGTTACATTCGAAGAAAAATGGATACTTGTTAAGATAAAATCTCGATCCCACTTTTTTTACTCATATGATTTCATCAAACATTAATGAAAATGATTTAATTAAAAATATGAGATAAGTACAAAACAGTCAATCAACCCAGAGAGAAAGGTGTCAATTGATAGAATAGCTATTATTGTGACATGCTATAATTTAGATAAATCTCGATAACCTTGTTTTTTTTATAACATTTTTTATTATATCGAGTGTCTCAGGGAAAATAGGCTTCTCAGTATTTTAATGAGATTTCTTTTAAGATTCGTTTTTTTTTTAATTCAATAGGTTGAACTTTTAATTCTCTATGAAATGATATCTTTTTTATTAGCAGAGACATAACTCAGCACTGGAAGCAGGTGGCACGCAGAGTAATTGAGTGTTAGACAAAGGGACGCTATCTGAACATTTTTTCAAAAGCAGGAGACAGAGGTGTCATGCAATCCTTATAAGCTACACTTCCATTTGTTAATATTAATACATATCCATCATTTTCCAAGATACGTTTCCAATAAACAGTTCAAGATAAACAATTTTCTAATACAACATTTTGTTAATGTTTTTTTTTCTTGACTGTTTGTCTCAGTTTTTGCATAAATATTTCTTTCAATATCACTTGTTCCTAATCGAAAGAATATACTCTAAACTTACGAGCATACTACCGTAAGTGACGCCTGCTGTTTGAGATTGTATTTTGAACTCACAAGCAAAGATCAATAAGACAAGTAGCAGCAAAAAGAGACCGTCCCCATGCGCTTGTGGCGTCAAGTTATGATCGATTTACTGGATCTTCGACTCATTTTTGTAGTTTTTCCCGAAAAAACAAATAACGAAGTTCCGATCCGAAATGTTGCTCACAGATCTGTATTTTGAGTCGTAGCATATCGTGAAAGTTTCAGCCGACAAAAATGTTCATTCATCGAGTTATTGAGTTTTCTAGTGAACCTGATTTTTGTGACAAAGGGCCATTTTTGTAAGTTCAATATCTTGACGAAAAAGCTTTTCTTTTTCGTTTGGTTGAAACTGTCAGAATATTCTAAGAGTTAATAGACTTCAGTAGACCAATCATAATTCGGTACCAAAGGCATTTGAGAATGAACCCTTTCAGACTTTTGCTAGCCTTACCGGGATCTTCTTCTAAATCCAATATGAGCTCAAGCAGCGGGTGTCAGGTCAAATAATACCTTCACAAGATTTCATAGATGAACTATGATGAAAAGGTTTCTAAATAACCGAACACGATAGTTTTCAGGTCTCATAAGACTACTTTTTAATAATGTCATTTTAATGAATACAAAAATTTGAACAGAATAAGAGACCGTCACATTTTCAACGATCTTCTCGTAAAAGGCTTTTTTAGTTGGCTTGTCGATTGAATTCGGTTTTTGTGATAATTTTAAGTTTTTAATGAAAAGTAATAGAAACTGTGACACTTCTCATTTTACTGAGAATTCTACCCTCTTTAAAATGGCACTATTTAAAAAGTAGTCTTCTCAAATCTGAAAACTATCGCGTTCGGTTTTAAGAAATCTTAATGGATTTGAGCTATATGCTTAACATTATAGAAGGACGAGCAAGTATATTCTCTCGATTAGGAAAAAGCTATATCAATAGACATATCCATAAAAAAAACTGACGAAAAGTTGTATTAGACTATAGTTCATCCTGAATTGTTCATTTGAAACGTCTCGCGGATAATGATGGATGTTATTTATACTAATAAACATGAAAGAAACGTCCATGCCGTATTTCATTTTCGCGCATTCAATTAGTCTAGGTTCAGTGTTGAATTACGCCTCTGTTAATAAAAAAATCTACCATTTCATAGCGAACTAAAAGGTGAACCACTTGAGAAAAGCAAACAAGGGAACCATGAAGGAAATCTCATTAGTATACTGAAAGATGCATTTTTCCTAGAACATTCGATATTTATTAAAAGCCAAAAGAAAAACTTTTAGTTTATTTATCCTAACAAAGAAAAAAAAATATTTATATACAAATTATAATTTTGAATACCATTTAAGTGTTCGAAAAAAAAATGACCATTTATTTGTCCATATAGTCCATCGAAGTCGAACAGGTTGAGAACCAAATCGAGATGGTTGAAGACCTAACATGTTACGTATCCGTGGTAATTCAAAAATAATTGTTTGAGAAAGTTGTAATATACTATTTAATGTCCAAAACAGAACAATACCCTAATAGGGATCATTAAAAAAGATTATATAAATATGATCAATTATTGAGCAATAAACAAGTCTTACAGCGGGTAATTTAAATGCAATTAAAGTAAAACCAATAACTATAGTTCGAGTAATTCCACGTTGAATTCTACCAGCTGATATAAATCGTGGATTTGCTAAACCTGGTTTTTCTATTGAGTTAAACTAGAATATAATTATAATAATTAAGTAAAGAATAAGAAAATTTTATTAACGTACACTAATTCCTATAAGACTAGGTATAAGAAAGCCTAATGGTAAAATACCATATGGATCAACTTCTGCTAAATTTTGAAACCATGCAACACCTTCTTGAGATATGGTAGCTAAAAAACAATCATGTACATATAAAGTCAAAATAACAGTCAAGTGGATACTTATTCAAGTCTATGAAATAAAACAATAAAAATAATTCAATTTCCTTGTTTTATTTTTTCTCAAAAGTTGTGCCTGTACGAATTATTATATTTGTCATAAACTTCATACAAATTCATCTTGAGTAAATATTTGTATTTCAAATCTCAAGTTTACCAAAAGGAACTTATACTTGATGTTCTAAACTTTTTCTTGCAATATTTCGTGACTAGATGAGTTCAAGTCACATTTGTTTAAAGACTCTGATTTGATTCGAATCATTAATTCAAAAAAAAAGCAAAAGTTGATAATACAAAACAAAAATTATTGATCTTATTAAACGTGCTACAAACATTATTTGTATTTTCTCAACATGATCTTTTAATGGTATCATATGACTCAAATTTTGCACAAGCTAATATTTGCATGTTAACGTTTTCAAAGTACAATAAAACATTTAGTCACTATGTTAATAAATGATGTTTTGCTTATCAACAATTTTAGGTTTTTGTTTCATAAAAATTAATCTTGTTCTTTTTTTACTGTCTTGTGGAGTTATATGGAAGAGAAAAGTTGTTTTTTATTGGCCATACTTTGTTGATAAGACTGTAATACTTGTATCATTCTATTCTATGTAGGACTATTTTTATTTTGTTTTTATGGATAAAAACTAGGAACAAGATATTGCGTCTTGGATAAATTGTTGTCAACATTCTTTATAAAAACAAATAGAAAGCGAAGAAATAGCAAAAAAAACTCGACTCATCCAACTTTGTGTTTCATATTTTCTGTAAATAGCTGGTATATATTGATGTTCAGTGTATGAATAAGCATTTCAATATGCCGAAGACTGGTCCAAGAAGTAATTCTCGAAAAGTAACAGATGATTATGACTGGATTTTTAGAAGATCATCGTCAAGTTTGTTTGAAAAACTTGTAGAACGTGTTAATAGTANAAAACCTGTTCGAATAGATGTTAATCGTAAGAAAAAAAAACAGTTCATTTTTTGTAATATAAGGTATTAGTCTAAACGAAGATACTTATATAAAACGAGATATGAATTTCTTCTGCAGAAAAACAAAACTACAGACTTGCCTGCTGGCTTTGTTACAAATATGTTTTGCAGATCGCACTATCAAGATTAAATTATCAAATAGTTATTGAAAAAATAATTTGATCATTGCAAGCTTGTTCGGTATTGTTTTTCTACAGTAATCTTTGATAAAGAGAATGAAAGTACTCTGATGTAAAAGAACTGACGTTCTGAATGGATAAAAGTGTATTTCTCAACTGAATGTAGTTCTATGTCGTTTTTTTTTCTGCTCGAACTAGTCTGATCACAGGAACGTATTATGATGAAGTAGTGTTCATATTGAAGAAAGATTGCATTAGATGTACATCGAAGTGAACAGCTTTTTATTAGCGGATATTTATTTGATTAACAACTCGAATAGGATGTTTTTAATGTGATAATTATTTCAAGTTAGATTTCATAACTGAAAAAAAAAATATCAAAGGATGTAATCTTTTAAAGAAATAAAACGAAAATAATTATTTATCTCGATACAAAATATTTGTATTAGTATTCATTTAACCTACTTAGAATATATTCCAATTCCTTTCTTTTTATCGTATAATATCGTAATTAATAACTATTATTGTGTATATCATTTTTCTTCAAAACTTTCTAAACACAATAATATATAAATAAAAACCAACGATTTGCACAAAAAAGAAACAAAAGCACATATTTTTTTTTTTATCTTTGTTGTAAAAGTAAAAAAACAATCAAAGAGAAAAATTTAACTTTCCTCTATTTTGATTGTCCATCAGGAACAATTTTAATTGAAGTATATATATATATAGGATTTTTTAAAGTTATATTTATACAGGTTTGTTTTGATTACACAAAAGAAAAGCACCGGCAAAAAAAAAATACATATTTGAAGAAAACATAAACTAATCACAAATTCAAAGATTTTGTTTCTTTTTATGAAATCACATTAATGAACACCAACGATCATCGCCAGTTAATGAAAGTTCATTAGCTACTTGATTTTTACCTTCAACATTAGGCATATAACAACGATGATCAAGGCATTCACGTTCATAAAATAATAAATAAGCTGATGATGAACATTGTTCAAGAAAACTTTCTGAAACAGGCTAGAAAAAAAAAACATATTAAACCGATCAGTTCTTCTAGATATAAGTTAGGTTAACTATTTGTTCAGAGTTCAAGCTAATGTTAAATTATTATAGAGATTCGATGAAAAAAATAATAAAAAGACGAGGTATACTACTTTCAATTTAGTCGTTTGTTGTAGAAATACTATAGATAGATTATTAGAAGAAAAAACAACAACAAGTAATATTTCTCTTAGTAATACAGGATATTTCAAAAGTTTCAATGAAAGAAAAATGTGAATAGTTCTTCAGTAATTTAAAGGATTGAAACATTTTTGTTTTTACAGTTTGATCACATATTTATTAGAGTTTTATTTAATATATTTGAGATAAAATGTTTGTGTCTACACAAATGAGAAATAAAATATGTTTCGTCATAACTAAATTTAGGCAGCTACTATTATAAAAAAAAAATCTGCGAGTAAAATTCAACAAAAACACATCAGCTAAATTCTATATTAGAACCACGTTTCAGTGATCTTGTGAAACTAGTACTATTGAAAATCAATGACATTCTAGAAGGCCATAGAACAATTATTGTAGAAAACGATAATGATGAAGTTAAGAATGCTTGTAAAAATAAGACAGAAACTGTATTATGATAGAATATTTCTTCTTAAAATCATACAAGATACAATGTGTTTAGCAGTTCTTTAAAGAACAACTACTTAGCAGTTGATTTTTACAAACGTCATTAACTTCATCGGCTTTTTCTTCAGTAACTACTCTATTGTAATCAGTTGTTGACTATAATGGTTTCACAAAATTAGTAGAATATATTTTTCCCAAATTCAGCTGACTTATTTAAATTCAATCATGAGTAAAATTATTATACTTTCGACTTCTATAAACATAAACATTTTATCTGAAATATATAATCAATACTTTTGAGAGAAACTATTGATAAATAGTTTATTCCATTCATAGAAAGTCTCTCGTAGAAAATTTACCTTGCACGAGCTATCATTAAAACAATACCATTGTTGATTGATATGATTTTTAACAAATGCTACATAATGACCACCACCAATGACTCCATAATGACACTATAAAAGAAAAAGAAAATTCAATAATATCTATAAAAAATCTTTAATTCTTACAACGAATGCATAAAGATTATAAGTAGTATTATCAGCATCGAAGTTATTATCAGCTGAATTAACTATTTGATCATTCATTTGTACAAATTTTGGTGGACATGGAATATTAGATTTATCATTTTGAATTTCATTTTTGTGTTTTCGTCGACCAAATCCAGTTTTCTGTTTTTTTGCTAATTCATCTAATGATTCGGGTGGTGGTAGTCCTATATTAGAATAATTTTGCTTTGAACGAAGATTATTTCCATTAGTCAAACACGAAGAAGATGATATGAGAATATTGTCAACAGAAGATGATGATACAATATCTGTTGTTGTTGTTGTTGTTATTGATGATAATGAAGATGATGAAGTACTTAGATTATCTTCAATAGAAGAAGTTGATAATGAACTAGTACTTGATGAACGTGGAGGAAGATATTTTGATGGATGAAATGAACGAATAGGAAAACGAACAGAACGAGACGATTTTATCCAACGATTATTTGATAATTGAAAACGTTTTATATGGAAAATCTAAGAAGAAAAAAAATGAAATTTTCTTCTTATATTTATTTTATAAACAAAACAATGACAATACTTTTTCGTAAATCAATAGATTAATATAATTATTCATATTGATCACAGATACATTTATTAATATATTTTATATAAATACTTTTAAGAATAAGATTAAACTCACTGAAATTTCAAGAATATCATCGCTAACTTTCTATAAATAGATCCTATAGATATGATATCTTACATGATTTTATACAAAACCTTGCCATGTGAACTCATCTATATACTAAAGTTTTTGTTAGATATTCTATAGAAATGAAAGGCTCTTTACAAGTCTGATAATAGGACGAGATTAGAGATATGTGGAACTAATTTTTTTTTCTTGTGATCTCGGTCCTGCACATTTCTAAGCGATATATATATTTATCAAAAACTGATTCTTTTTACATATCTGTGTGATTTTGAAAGATCCGCGAAAGTTTTTAGAGATTGTTACAATCTTTTGTTGTAAACTATTTACATTCTTGACGAAAGTGAAGATAATATGTTGCAAAGAAAACAAAGATTTTCTATGTCAAATTACGAAATTTATTTTATCTCGTAGAGAATAAGTAAATTTTGCTGAACTCGAATGATTATTTATAGTAATTTCGATTCAGAAAACAAAATTAAACTTTCGAAAGAAGATTACAAATATGATTGTTTTAGTGTTCATGTTAGTTCGTTACCAATTTCTAGTCATGATCATGATTCTGATTACTTGCTCAGGAAAAGGTCAAATTCGATTTAAACAGCGAAAGCGATAATCGGACTTTCATACTAGTGAAGTTTATTGAATTCATCTCAAATGCGTAAGAACTATGTATTTTGTTCTATTAATAAATACTTTTGATCACATCTTTTTCATTGATGGAAAAGGGCATTGCCATTTCTTTAATTAACTTATGTCATTAAATTAAATCAATCCTTTATAAGAATAAACAGCTGACTTGAAATGTAATTCCTTTCTTTCAACATCTCAAACTGTAGATTATATACACAAAGAAAAAAAAGACTAACTACATGTGTCAACTGAAATTTTCTGTTTCTTCTTCATTATCAAACTACATAAGACAAATTACAATTTTCTTACCAAACATGGTGGTAATTTCCAAATATCAAGTTTTTTATCAGCTGGTTGTAATTTTTTACATCGTTTACAATTGAACATTTCTTTATGATCAAGATTTTCCCAATTAATAAATGCTTCAAGACAATCTTCAAGTGTAATTATTGATAATGGTTCATCATTATTTGAATCAGTACTATTTCCTGCTCGAAATGATTTTACACTTGAATGAATTTCAACATCCTACATAACGAAATATTATTTAAATAATTATCATTTATATTCATATTTACTTGTTCCCGACCAGATAAATATCGAAGATAATAAGCAGATGATTCCCATTCAATAGCTATATTTCCACGTGTATGTAAAAATTCATTATTATTCGATTCAAATGAACAACCATTACAAAAACTAAAAACAAAAAAAATAATAAAGTTTTTGTCAAATATGTTTTTTTTTGTAAATTATTTTTTACCGATTCCATGGACAAATTGAACATCGTTTTCCATCTTCATTAACATGTTTTAATATAAATGGATAACGTTCACCAAGTGAATCATCACAATCAAGTGCATGATTTGATTTCGATGTTAAATCAGAATTCTTTCTTAATAAACGTTCTAATTGTTTTGATATATTTTCATATATATATTTATTTGTTATTTTTATTGAATCATTTTCATTATATGGTATAATTATTGGTAGACCAAAAAATAAAATTTTTTGACGTGTTAAAGGTGATAAATAACGTTCTTGACGTTCTAATCGACGATGTAGAGCTATAATATATGATATTGATGATAAACTATTATTATTATCAATAGATTGTATTAATGGTAATTCATATGCAACAAAATCACGAATATTTAATTGTTTTATTTTTGTTTGATTAGAATCCATTAATGTATAACGACGAAGATATGATGGATTTGTGACATCAAAAAATCCAATTTGTTCAATTGATAATGATGATAAGATAGATAATTGTTTTTTTATATGATCAACTGTTAATTCACCATCAAGTTTAATACCATACCGAATTGGTTTTAAACCATTTAGACGAATAACTAGAAAATAAAAGAATTTCAAGTTAGTTTTTAAGAATATTGGACAAAATTTCATTTTTACAGATTGATCAAAGATGCGTACGAGATTAAAAGTTCATATGTATACTTTCAGAAACAATAAAAATATAAAGAAATAGCAGAAATGATAGAAGAAAGTGACGCATTTTCCATAAGTTATCAGAGATGGAAACGGTGCACATTTTTCTTGGAACCAAATTGGTGCCATCTCTGTGGATTATTCCCTCTCCCTTTAGTTTTCTTTTATTTATGAGTAGACATTAGAGTTCGGCGGTTTCAAAACTTACTCGGAACCGCGGTTCCGAGCAGTAAGAATGAGAAAAGAGCGGATCCGGTTCGGATTCGGTTTCGGTTTCATTTTTTTTTGGAACCATCGAACTACATCACGCATATGCTTTATAGGTTCAAGAATAAAGGACAATATTCTATTTATAAACATTTCAGTTACACAAATTATTAGAAAAAAAGAGTATATCAATAAAATAAAGAATGTATAGCTAAAAATTTTACCAATAAAATTCGTATCAATTCGTAGGTGAGCCCGTGGCGAATTAATGACTGTTCAATCCGCAAGTACAACAAACAATCATTCAGTCTGAAAGCTAGAGATATCTAGGTAAGTTTTTTTTCGTACTCTTACTCCACCCTTTAAGTAGGCGTCAGTCCTAATCGGAATAGTATTTGATCGAACAGGTACTATTAAGATTGATGCCCAATGAAACTATTAATCAGTCGAACTTATATGAAGTCGTGTCGATTGCACAATCGACTTGAAACTGATGCATGTCTCTTATCCTACACATTTCTACCGTGAGATGTACTACAGAGTTCGGTTGGGACTAGCTTGGCAGGTCAAAAAAGAAACTTATTATCAACATCTCTGATCTGCGTAAGCAACTTTTGTAATTCCGATTTTTACATACGTTTAACTTCAATGTAAACTGACGTATCTATCGGTAATGGTAATGAAAGAATATTAAATGGATCAAATCGAACACTTTTTAATTGACATATTCGACATTTAACTTGTGAACGAAGTAAACCATGAAATAAATCAACAATAATTGATGAATTTCGTGCTAAATGATTGGACCAATGTTCATTTGCGACCTATTTTTATATTAAAAATTAAAAAATTTTTTTTTCAACAAAAACAAAAACAAAAAGAAAAACAAAAGAATATTTTTCTTTACATCTTCATCTGGTCTATCATCACTATCTTTAAGTTCAACATATGGTTTATCATGAACACGATTAAGATCTTCATGTAAACCATCAAGTAAAAATGAAAGAAATTCTTGTGAATCATGTTGTTGAAAATCTGTAAAACGTGATGAACCAAATTTTGCAACTGAACCCTTAAATAATGATAATAGTAAAAAAAATGAATTATATCATTGAAAAAAATCAAGTAATAAAATTAACTCTTAATTCAAATGGTGCTAATGGTCCACGAACATTTCCCCAAAGTTTAGCAATCAATTGTCCATAACATAAAGCTATATTTCCTTGCATTCCAATTGGATTATCTCTATACAAAAAAAAAAGTAAATAATTTTCTTAATGAAAAAGAAAATGAATTTTATTTTTTTTTTCAGTACTTATTTATTTCAAATAAATGATATTTATGAAGAAAATAAAATGTTAATGGAAATGAATGACTAAGACATTGTACAGCAGCATTAAGAAAACATGTATTGCCTAAATTTGATAGGCCTATTTGACCACGTCCTTCTTCATCAACATTTCCTATTGAATTATTTATTGATAATGTTGATACTGCTAATGCTTTTGAACGTGTTGCTAATGTATAAAGTTCTTCAGGCCATGTTAAATCATTATTACGTATTTCTAATAAAATTTCACTGTTTTGATTAAAACCTGCTTCTTGACATGTTATTTCATCTATAGATTCAAAATCTATTTGTCGAAGATCATTCTAAATAATCAATTTATTATTTGAATACAATAAATAGAATTGTAGGAGTGGTTAAATATTTGTATAAGTAAATAATATATATTTTCAATATTTTTACTAAATCAATAATAAGAAGACATTCTTCTCGAATTGGACGTGATTCGAGAGCTGAAGTTACCACAAAAGCCTGACATATTCACAATTAATTAGTTCTATTAAAAATTTTATTTATGCAAAGTTCGAATTCGAAAATTGATTTTGAAGTTGATCTAACAGAGAGTACGACATATTGTTGAAAAATGTCCATAGCCCAAGAATGGCTTATGGAGACGAATCCTTTTCAACCTTCTCTATTCTTAATATATTTCTCCCTAATAAAATGTAAGACTCATTGGAAAAGCGATCTATCAGCAATATCCTATATTATATTTTGTGAGGATTCTAAAGCATAATTTTATATGTTTGTTTTTTCGAATAATTTCAAGACTGATTCGCTATATTCTTTTTTATACAATCGTCTGTTCAAATGAATGCGAAGTGAAGTAACGATGTTTTTATGATAGAAAAACCTTTTCAAAAACTTCAACTCTTATCACTCATAAAGTCATTATGACCAATGGTCATTATCCAGAAATTTGAACAACTGAATTGTACAAAACAAAAACAATTTCATAAGACTTGTACGAGAAAAACAATTCAACTTCAAGCCAGAGCTGTCCATGATGGTAGTTTCCTTTTTAGGCACATTATAAAATTGTATACAATTCAAACAGTCAGAATCTTTGTGAATTCAATCTAATTGTGTTAATTCAGCACAGCGACAACTTTTTATGTACAGTAAAACTTCTCATAGTGAACACTAATTATAAATTCAGAGAGAATGTTGCGATGACTGTTTTTTAATCGTAGAACATAATGGTTTGTTTTATTGATCGGATAGCAGTATGACAAAAAGAACACACGTTCTTTGTGTTGAATAACCTAGACGGGTACATCTATATATACAATCGCATGGTAATATTTGTATTCTTTTGTTACTATTATCAAGAGAAAGAAATTGTTATGTCTAATTGACGTGTGTTGATTCGGAAACAAAAGGTTGTACCAATCAAAATGATCATAGTTTATCTTTTTTGAATCTACTTACTATCATCTCTGAATTACAATTAACTGACATTTATTGTTATTTGTTATAATTTTACTAATAAAATTTTTACTCAATTTAGCATCGAACTAATGCATTGATAAGTTTTAATTGTGACATAATAAAATCAATCACTCACTTCATTAAATCTCATCCATAATCTTATTTCATCGAAAGGTTTTCCAAATTTAATTGAAAGTTCTTCAGCAAGTGATCGAACTGTTTGATATTGACTAACAAAATATGAACAAACTAAATGATGTCGAGGTGTATTTGATGTCATGGAAGTTGAAGAATTAGTTGAACCTAAAAAAAAATTTCATACAAAATTTTGTTTCGTTTTTTCCTATCATATTTTACCAAACATGCTTGCTGAAACATAATTAAGTAATGGATAAGCAAAATGTGTTGAATTATTATTATTATTATTATTGTTATTATTATTTTTATTTGCTGCTATTACTTCCATTTGTTGTGATGAAAGTATTCGATTACGATAAATTTTTATAGTTAACTTTCAATAGAAGCAAAAAAAAACAATTTATTTTTAAATAAATTACGAAAATAAAATCTTACCGGATAGAGATCAAGTTCAGGTTTATTAAGATTTTTTCTATATGTTACTTTTCGACATACAATAGGTCCATTACAACGATAATATTTACGTAAAAATATCCATAATAATTCAGGTATCATTTCAAAATGAATTCCACGACGAAGATTTGTTTTAAGTTGAACACAATCATTTGAAATAATTTTTTCTATTAATGAACTATTATCAATATCACCATGTTCATTTCTAAATAATAAATATATATAATTAAAAGAATAAATTTAAAAAAAAAAAAATTTTTCTATTCACTTATTATCAGTTTTATTCGATTTAATTGATGAAATTTTTTTATTTTTTAATTCATTACTATTTATAATCGACGAAGAACATATTGTTTCCCATCTAAGCCACCAATCCATTGAAATAAGAAACCATGATGCACCAGGTTTTGATGTTGCACGATTATATGCTACTTCTGATTCATTAAGTGGATATTTTTCACGTTGAAGAAAATGTCTTTAATTAACAAAAAAAGAATCCGATTTAATTAATAAACTTATTTGTTATTCTTTGTAATTTTTAAATAACATACTTTACAATAGTTAATTCATCTTGTTGTGATGATGGTCGTAAACCAAGTACAACATGACAAATTTGAAAAATAAGATCAAGTAATTCGATAATTAATCTATCTTTTTGGCACCATAGTAAAAAATCTTCTGGTTTCAATATTGATTGATTTGTTTCTGAAGTCATATCAGCATATAATTCATGCGAAGTTTTTACATGCATATCAGATGCATAAACAAATTGAGCAATTTCAATAAGGCACGATGTCATGTAAATAATATCAGAATAATTGAGTACACCATCGTGATCACGATCAAATACACGAAAGAGAACTGTTAAATACAAAAATTTTGATTCTTTTAAAAATATGATTATGTTGTACGGTTGAACGTGCTTTTGAGATTTGATGAATAACAAAAAAAAGCAATAAAACGCTAAAACTCTACTGGACGAGCAGTTATTCTGTTGACGCTTCCCACTCAGAACACTCGCGAATCACATAGATTATAAAATATCACTTTCATATTGACTGATATGAGTTTTTACAGGTATTTTCAGAGATTTACATAGAATGAATACTTTTCATTTAAGATATGAAATTTACAACATACACGGCAAACGTTAATATAGACAAAAGATTGCTTTAAGGAAGAAGGATTCATATTATCGAAAAATTTTAACGCTTCTTAACAACAATAATTTAGGTTTTGTACACGCCTATTACATTATAACTCGAGACGATTGATATGAGAAGTGACTTTTTCAGAAAAAAAAACTAAAGCGATTTTCCTTCTGCAAGAAAATCATATTAGTTTAGAGACAACAGTAGCGAAATTCAAAATTTATTCAAATGCTTCTATCCGAATGCTATTATATGTGTATCCTCATATACCTTCACTCGGCTTAATTTTTAATACTAAAATAATCAAGTTTAATTTTTAAATGAATTATTAGTGAGATCCTTAATACTAATTAAAAACCCTACAGTGATAACTAAATTCAGATAGATTATAAAGCAGTAAGTATAATAACGATGAAAAAACAAGGTAACTCACATTTATATCTTTCACATTGTGGACCACGACAAGCAGCACTAATTCCACAAGCAAATTCTTTGAAATCAATACATCCTGAAAAAGAAAAATACAGAAGAATAAACTATTTATCGATTTTTTTTTAAACTAAACTTACCATCTTGATTTTCATCGAAAGCTTCAAAAACTGACGATATTAATATAGATGGAAGAACCGATGATATTATATTAGAAAATATTTGTGGTGTTATTTGTTGTTGTCTATTATTATTCCATGTACAGTATTGATAATAAATTTGTTCTAATTCTTTGATTTCTTTTTCTGATACTATTTCAAAAAAAAAAATATTTTTTTTTCTAAGCAATAAATTTAAGGATATCTCCTTCTTTTTTGTCTATTGCTAATGTTCAAAGAGGATAAAATCAATCCGCATGAAATTTTTACCGTAGATAAGACTATTAACACGTAATGCTAAAGTTCGGCATTAATTTTGTTTTCAGTATACCGTAATTTTATAGAGGGCTCATTGAATTCTAATTCAATATAGAATATGGAGTTTCACTAACTTCGATATTACTTATTAGTTATGAACATTTTTCGCTAGGATAGACTGTTAGAAAAATGTAGATTTCAAACTCAATCGATAAATTAAAGATTTTAATTTTACCTATTTACAATGTTTTAGTGTAGCATTACAAAACTCGATAAAAGATGGCAAATAAGACAAACTTTCTTAATGGATAGAAATTTTCGTCTAAAGTTCAGTAGCTTACAAGAACTTTTCAGTCTTCGGTAAGTATTTTGAACGAAATATTTTCATACAATATACGAAGAAAAAATAGTTAAACAAGTTTTTTGAAAAAACTATAGCTCTCCATAGGATCACATCAAGCCTGCTTACGAATTCGGTTCTACTGGATCCGATCGAGGTAAAAAAATATTTTTGCAAATATCTTAGATTATGTCTTCGAGGTGACTTTAATCTTTTTCCAAGATCTCGGTTTCTTTTTTTTTTGTATGAGAGAAATACATCAAGATTCAGATCCTAAAACCGGGATGTTGATGTTCAGGACTTTAAAAATCAGAACAGGAAGGTCAAAAATGAAAACGGTCGATTTCACATCTGAAGAATACAGCCAAATATCTGTGATAAAAATTTTAGCCCGATCGGACAAAGTTCGAATGAGAGTCAGATGCCCAGGTCCTACATATGATCTCATATTCGGATCTAATCCAATAAATTAATAAGATCTCGATATTTCAAAATATTTTTACTTTTTCAAACTGCTAATTCATATAAAAGTATAGGAGTAAAAATCTAAGCAATTTATTGCACTTGAGAATAAATCCAAGACATAAACAGCGATATTGTTTTACTAAAAGAATTTGTTTTTAATCAAAATTCATCTACAAATGTTGGTGAACTATATGACGATGTAGCTGAATATATGAACAGGAAAGTGAATTATCATGATGAAAAGCCATTTTTTTTTGTTGTTACCGTTTACACAAGAAACTTAATAGCATACTGTTTTATATAAAACAAAATCTTGAAAACTTTTTCCAGCTATCGATTCGCTTCGATTGCGAAAATTTGTATCCATGAACGACACTATGTCTTCTTATTTTGAATAATCTATCTATGATAAAAATTTCAAACAAATCATTTGCATTCCCTTCGACAAAGTAGCAATAGACAAAAAAGAAAGCATACCCTTAAGCATTTCTTCACTTACGTACAATGTGTAACACCGGCAAGTATGGAATATTGATCATAAATTCTATCGTTTGTATATGTTAATAATTCAAATAAACGTTGTTCATCCATAAGCCAATCTGTTATTGTTGTTGTATGACCTTGATTGTGTTCTAACCATTGAAGAAATTTCTCTTGGGTGACTATTTCATTTTTTTGAAAAAAATTTTCAAGTTCTTTAGGTAATTGATCACCACATAGACGAAGAAATTCTTCAACATCATACCAATATAATATTCCTGTTTGAGTAAATATTGCATAAAGAACTAAACAAAAGAAAAAGAAAATTCATTTTTTTTTGTTTTTATTTTTTCGTAAATTTACGTTGCATGCGTTCTTTTTGTGTACCATAATAGATCAATCCCAAGCAACAAATAAGATCTTTATAAGATAATCCTGTTCGAGATGAATTCATATAAAGTTGATAAAGACGCTAAAGATATATTTTTTTGTTAAAACAAAATTCTTAAATAAAACTATATAAAATAAGATAAACGAACATACATTAACTAATTTTTCAGGTAAAAAATTAGCAAAAACATCACGTTTAAAATTTGTATAACTAAGTTCATTTGTTCCATTTGTTAACTCCCGAAATGTTATTTCAATACGTTCTAAATCAGTTTGAAAAACTAAACAAATAAAAAAAAAAAACAAATAAAATAAGATTGTCTAAATTGATAATTTTTTTTTTTTTTTACATACATCGTTTTGAAGCTTCCTCATATGATAAAATTTTTGTAGATCCACTACCCATGATAAGATTTTATTTTCATCTCATTTGTTGAATAAAAAAATCTTTAAAATGAAATTTAAAAAAAAAATATATTTTTTGCTTTTTGTTTTTTCAAAAAATAAATTAATGATTCATTAAAATTATCACCACATATTATATTGGTTATCTTAGCAAACAAATAAAACTTCTCTAGTATAAGATTTAGAACAGAGCGCCATCTTTTTAAATTTATCCATTAAGGAAATTCCACGAATGAGACATACACAGCTTCAGATGGAATTCAGTAGTGGTAGTTGGAGGGAAACCGAAAAAAGTTTCTTGTATTTGTTAATTGAACAAATGTGTTCGAATAGAAGAAGTAATGATTCTATAGAATCTTTTTTAGAACGATTATTATTGTAAGAAATAAAATTCAAAATTGTTTTGTTTTTTACGTTGAATTGTATTTGAATTCGAAAGATCGTTCATGAAAGTGCCGAATAATAGAATAGTATCGATTGTAATTAAAGATGATGAGATGATATAGAAGTATTGATGTTACTGTTTGACCAGCTGAAATTATTATGATATGCGTGTCTTCTTAAACAGTTTCATTGAGAGAAATAATAAAAAAGAGTATTTTTGTGACTCAAGTGGATCATATAAAAAACCTTTTGCAATAGTTTATATTTGAACAGATATGCATAGACTTGAAAAGTTATCAGTCATTTGTATTGAATTATTGATCAATAATTGTTTCGATAAAACACATTTAGAGTCTTTCGAAAAGACATCGTATGGCACGATCGTAAATTTATAGCTCTTCACCTGGCTTTCATTTTCAAAAGATAACACGTGAAATCCTGCAGACATCTGAGTATTTAATTTATTCTTCTTTTTTTCTATATGAAAAAATTAACCTTCAAAATCTGCATAGTCTTAGGAGATTTATGAGCATTGAGTGTTTTGGATAGTAACTAGGATACTCATAATTTTGCCATTTGTAAACTCAGTATTAAAACAAATAATGTACGTCAAGATATTTTTGTATGTTTTATAAATCGGTGTATTGATCATGTTTACCGATTAGATTATGCAAGGTCAGGCCAGGGCAATATTGCTCCGGCTTGACCCTGTATAATCTAATCGGTAAATATAATCCATAAACTATTTTTTAAAGCATAAAAAATGACACTGATCTACACTATTAGTTTTCATGTCAATTTTATAAGTGAAAAAAAATCACGAGTACCATAGTTACAGTCCATAGAGTTCAAAATTTTTCAACTGGATTTGAATAGTTGCCCCGAAGATTCGACATACTTTTTTTTTGACTTTTTGTATTCGGTGACTAGCACAACCTACAAATTTCTCTGATGATTAGAGTCTGTCGAGTTCAAAATTTTCGGATGTGAAATCAATCCGACGAACTCTAACTATAGTTCTTATCCAAAAGACCCAACGGTGATAAACATCTTTACATTATTTAGTCCTCGAGAAATTTTGTTTTCTTCATTCCACGAAAAACAAAATAAATACCCAAAAGTGTACGGGATTTTATATTGTATCTTTCTTACAAATTGAAAGTGAAATCTAGAGGGATGAGTGGTAGATTTATGATCTTATCGTACAGTGCTCTCTTAGTCAAGCAAAAAACATCTTGTTTTTTCGTCATGTCGAATCTTTAAGTATTCATTTCTTAAAAATAAATATCAAAAGTTGTGTTAACATGAAATTTTCAGAAATGTACAATGGTTTTTAACCAATTTACTGACACTAATTCCTTAATTATGAACAAACTAACTTCGGCAATTAGGTAAAATATTTCTGAATCTCACATAAATTCACTCGTTATAGTATCAAACAATATTCAATAGGTCTCCAAGTTGAGTATTTTCGTAAACTTATCAGTGCATATTTTGTTGAATGTTTTATAACATTTTGACTGAATCATATATCCGAGTATGACAAAACGTATCACTTAACGACAGATTATTTCTATTTAAACCAAATATTTATGTTCCTACTTTATCATCATGGATGAAGAAAAACTCCCACATATTTTCAAAACACATTTACGCTGAATCATTGTCAGAAAAAAAAACATTCTTTTTTTTATTGTCACTGCTAAATACAATATGTCGAATAATGATTATGAAAAAAAGAAATCCGTATGGATGTTAAAACATAAAAAAAACTCGGGACAAGGAGAAAAGAGAAAGAAAAAGAAACGCTGTATTAAACAACCTTTTCTTCGTATTACACGAGTATTAAAGCATCGGTTGACAGTAATGAAATATTCGACGTTGCACTTCTATTTTTCTGTTCTTTTCTTTTTCGCAATATAACAGAAAAGAAAATGAATCGTTTTTTTTTCTTTTTAGTTATTGTTTTTAAATTTAAGTTCATTTCGAATTCGAAATTATTCAATATTAAATATAATTTTGCTATTTTATTTATTGTGATAAATGTCTTTTTACTCGTCACGCTTGATCAACACATAAATTTTGTGTCCTTCAAGAAGCATATTGTTTATTTATCTGTAATAACCAAAACTAAAAGAACGTATATGAGTTATGTATGTATATCAAGCAATTACGTTCTTATTTTAGGTGTATTTTTTTTTTTATTTTTTTTTTGAAAATGAATTTTTGGAATTATAGATAACAAATGGATAATAATCATCACATTGACGACAATGATGAATTCTTCGATGCCGACGGTATTTAAATAATATTATTTTGAAAATTATATGATTAACATTAAAATGAGAAATTTGAAGATTTTTTAAAATTCAAGCAAAATTTTATTGTCAAATATTGGGAATATTATATACTGTTTAAAGGAAAGTTTTTGGTTAGACTAAATCTTTAAAGAAATTATTGAATAGTCTATTTCCAAGATTATTCATAGATGTTTAAAAAATGATCTCCTGAATTCCATTTTCACTATTTTTCGTCGTTTAAATATGAGTTCTTTTAGGATGATGACAAATTTTACATTTCTCTTGAATTGAAATACATGTACATGGTTTTTTTCAGTTTTTGTTCCCGAATTAATACGCGCAAAAATCCCAATTTTATTGGGAAAATTTTCTCTTTTTAGTTGAATTGTAATCTTTTGAAAACACCCAAAGATTTTATTTCAAACCCAATATTTGTATTTTAGTATGATACTATTTAGTATTAGATGAGAAATTTCAGAAATATTTAAGAATAGTTTTGTCTTTGACCTACATTATTTCTGTGCTATTTTGATGGAACCTTTCGAATATATTTCACAATGATTTATCTAATCGAGTATTACGTGAGAAGTGAAACTCCTTTACTTCCTCTGTGAGTCAGGATCAATACTTCGTGGAGCAGATGGTTAACCTCTTCAGGGTTTTAAACTGGCCTTTTTCTCGAAATATGAAATATTCATTTCGCAGGAGAAACTGTGAATAAAATATTGGTGTTTGGTTAAAACCTAACTGTATATCTTGACGATCGGAGAACTAAACTCATCTTGATGAACTAGAAGAGAGTTAAATATCTTAGGTTAGTTAGGAATGTCTGTAAAATGCCATAATAAATGCAAATATTGTCATAATATCATTTTATAAAAGACTTCACTAAGATTGGTAAACCAATATGCACACTCGGAAGCATAATAAGCATGACTCGTAACAGATTGCAACCTTCAGCAATAGAAAATAATATAAAATGTCTTGTATGTATTATCATTTAGGGCGCAGTCTACAATACATTAAACTGTGACATCATGTGTTAGTTATGATAGATTTTTAATACATGATTTCAATCTAGCCTTCGTTACCCTTATTAATTCTTCTGTGAAAATGAATAATTACTATTTTTACAGTTTACTTCTAATTGGTAGCATGTGTCCTTGAAGTTTGAGGTAATTAGAATTTGAAATCTACCAGTCTCAAGTTAGTGTGATCTCATTCTGGACATTTCGTAACAATTCATTTACGATCATCGATCAATGTTGCAACATGTTCTCGAACAATAACTAATTAAGAAATGATCTAAACAAAAACTCAGCTAAAACTGTTATAAATTCGATATATTTAATTGAGTCTATTTTGTGTAATTTTACGCACAAAATAAAATGACAAAGGACTGCTATCAACAAGATGATGGCTCGTTATTTTATAGTTTTTTATGGTATCCAGATTAATCAGTCTAAATTATCTGAGTCAAGATAGAAAACTCAAGATTTTTTAAACTTAGCTTTAGGAAAAAAATTGAGAAAACAGAAATATCCTACTGAAAAAAAGGTGCTATTTCCTAATGTATTTCTTTATGATGAGTTTTTAAGACAAAGAAAAACTGAAAACAGATAAATATTTGAGAAATTTTCCCTCAATATATAAACAATTTGTTTGTTGTTTTTATTACATAGATACCGATCATTATATTGCCAGTATTCAACGAGATTTAATGAGAAGTTGGAATCTTATTTGTCGAAAACAATACGGTCGGTAAGTGTCTTTCTTATCTTGCCATTTAAAATAGAAAAACTAATGGCGTGATCTAAGTATAACTTTGTAACATCGTTTTTTTTTTCTTCGATGAGTCAATATAAAAAGAAAAAGAAATAAAACATCGTTTATATTCATATATATATATATATATCTAAACATTATTTATTCGGATGGATGAGCACAGAAATTCATGTGAAAGTATTGCGTTTTACCTGTAGTATTATTTATCTCTTCGTCACAATTTCTTTTTTTATGCATTCGAAATAACCAATTAGAAGCGAGTGTATTTCTACCTTTTTTTCTTTCTTTTTTTTTTTTTTTTATCAATCTTTACATATCGAGTTATACAAATATATGATCGATTCATTTCATACGATACATTTGTAGAAGACGAATATTTTTCTTCAAAATTTTATTCATCTACTGTTTTTATCAATATGACATCCATGGAGAATTTATATCCAACTTTACAGAGAAATGCTAGAAGGTATGTTTTACTTGTACTACAAAGATTTTATCATTTCGAATAGTATTATTAAATATTATTCAACTATATGAATATTGTAAATATAGCAATGAGTAAATTTCACGAAGAGATATCTTCTCTTGGAACTTGTCTGCACTATATATATTTATTTTGAAAAATTTTCAATGTTCTATAACAGTCAAAAAAGACAATAAAATGAATACATATTGGACTCTTTCGAATGTCACGGAGGAAAAGCCTCGGGCTAACTGATCAATTGCTTCTGAGTTGAGACTATGTAAAGCATATAGATTCAAATGAGTTTTGAATGGTCTGAAAAGAGTTCGAGGCCTTTGTTTATTGCTGAAGAGATACTTAACAGTAGTTTTTAAATGAATGCCATGGTCTTCCGCAGAGAAAGTGATTTTCGAATTTCGACTAGAAACTTTGTAGAGAAAGATTAAAGTTATATGAAAAGTAAAGGTTACTTTATTAATTATGACTTAGCATTTTACAATGTACGCTTTTCTCGACAAAACTAAAATAGCCTTGTAATATCTGGATGATTAAAGTGAAACGAAATATTAGTTTCTAAATATATTTACATAGATTGATATAGTTTGACAAACTCTACAAGAATATCCATATCAAAATAATTATCATCCTGGTTCCAATACAAAACTTGGTGAAAATCAGACAAACTAATAAAAACCTCACATATCTTGCATGAGATAGTATGCTTAACNAATAAAATATTTGTAGCATCTGAAGTGAAATCTGTTTTCTAGAAATTTTACATGATTCGATAGAGTTAACTAATAAAAACCTCACATATCTTGCATGTAGCTGAAAATAAACCCTCCGAGCTGTATGAATAGTCGATCAGCTAAAGTTATTGAAAGTTCATTTTACACTTTCTAATGTTGAATAAATAAAATTTTTATTAGTCAACTCTATCGAATCATGTAAAATTTCTAGAAAACAGATTTCACTTCAGATGCTACAAATATTTTATTTTTTTCAAAAAATGTAAGATGTAAAATGTTTAGTCATTTCATCCCGAAATAAGAACATAAAATTTGTCATCGATGTGAAGCTAGCACGACGAGTAGCTACCACGACGGATTTAGATGAGCTTGGAATCTGTAACGCTGGGCGCTGTTGGGGCGGAAGTTAAGTGAGGGTACTCGGTAATGTGTACCCAAGCACCCACACCCAGATCCCGCTCCCAAAAGTTCAAGTATTCAGGTTTTTAGATTTACCTAAATCCGTCGTGGTAGCGACTCGTCGTGCTAGCTTCACATCGATAAATTTGTCAGTATATATAAGCGATGTAAGAGAAACTTTTTTACTAAGGCTTCACCATAGATTAGGAATAACGACAAGATCCGAAACACTCACAAGAAACTACTCTTGTTAAGGTGTGCCTTTGTGCAAAGTTTCGAATCTCAGCATGAATATGCTAAGAGCCTGAACTGTTATTTGAGTATTCATAGCTCAATCGTCTTTACATGATGCAAACGGTTATAACTCAACAGCAATTAATGAATTAAAGAACTTCACTCGTTAATTTCACGTTGATCAAAAGCAATAAAACTTTTGTATTATAATTTAGAACTAAACTTCCTGTAGCAATGTTTGATCGATCACAAATAAGTATTTGGAGTATACTTAAACAATGCATTGGAAAAGTAAATACCATTCGAAACGAAAAAGGAATTTGATCCGAAAAATAATTTTTGAATTTTAGGAATTATCTAAAATAACAATGCCAATTGCTTGGAATGAACCTGTTTCATTTTTACAACGTTTCACAGAAAATATTCTTTATTCATATTTACTTGACAAAGCTGATGAATGTAATGATCCACTTATGCGAATGCAGGTAGTTTATAATGAGAAAAGTGCAAGTCATGTCAGATAATCGGACTAAGAGTTCATGAAAGAACCAATAAATGCCAGAAAATGTGATGACCAAGGAACCTAAAAAAACATAGTACACGACAAAAAGTAGTAGTGCATCTTTGAGTTCAGAGTTCATACATATCATAAGCCCTATGAGGTTTGAAAAGCCTCAGAAGAATAAGTTTGTTTAGCTCTTGTTGGTAGACTTCTAGCTATTTTATTGGAATTTAACCTTATCGTATGATATGTATCAAAACATTGATTAAGAGTATTTCGACCTGAAAATTTTAGCTCCAAGAACGAAATATTCAATTTCTACAAGTCACTCATATCTTACGAACAATGTGAGATACTCATGGTTTTGTTTTGAAGTTCAGTATTTCGTCAAGAAAACGCTCTCTTGTGCTAAAACTTTCAAACTATTCTAAACACAAGTAGATATATCTATGAGTAAACTAGAAGATAGTACTATAATCATTAGATTTTATTGATACATACTGTATCATAAGTTACAATTTTTGTAAAATAGCTATCACTTTTGAAGAGAAAGGCTGAAGAAATTTACCATATTAATATTTTGAATACTTCGGTGAAGTCTATCTTTTGTACAGAGTTCGAACTCAAAAATAAAACAAAACTGTTAATCCCCTGAAACGGTCAACTCGTCAGTCTGATTTGACGTAAATTTATTATTTGAAATTCGGTTGTTCATGAATAGTTTCAAAAGTTTTTTTTTAATTTCAAAAGTATGTTGCTGCATTTGCTGTATCATCGATTGCGGGCAATATTGATCGTTTATCAAAACCATTTAATCCATTACTTGGTGAAACATATGAATTCATTGGGTTAGTAAACTACTGTTTTATTTACCTATCATTTCTTTTTTTTTGTTTTATTTTGTATTTAGTGATGATCTACCATTTCGTTATGTAAGTGAACAGGTTAGTCATCATCCACCTGTAAGTGCATTTACATGTGAATCAAAAGATGATGGTGCACGATGGAAATTTTATGGAAGTATTTTGCCAAAAGCCAAATTTTCAGTTAAAAACATGGAAGTAAATCCAAAAGGATTATTAACACTTGAACTTAAACGGTAAGAAAACTGTTAGCGCAATCCTTGCGGAATAAAAATATGAAACACAATATAGCTGCTTTGGGAAGAATTTTTGCCAACATTTATTTGAGAATGTTTTTGATTAGAAAATATTTCGTGCCATACATCATTTAATGTCGTTTCACACGTTAATGTCGAATTATACCATTGTTGTTCAATGAAAACCTTTCAACATATTATATACTAACAAATCTAATAAGGCTATTTTGATCTGAGATTTGCTTAGGAGACAGATCTATTCGTGAGTAGAGTGTCCTGAAAATTTCAGTTGATAAGACATGTTTTTTTTCCAATATATACCGTACCAGAGACAAGAATTCTATTAAGATAACTATAGCTCTGGATAGTAAACATTTATTAGTTCTAATTTAATTTTGCTTTTCGAATTGATAGAGGATACTGAAGCAACTCCAAATATGTACTGTATTTACCTACTCATTGGCTGAGTTTTACGCAGAAACTAAAGTTTTTAATGACAAGCATCTTTTCAAGTTAAGTTTTAATTGGTGAACTTTTTTTGCTCTACTTTGCATTCATAACAAAAACTTTTATGAGAGTAGATAGAGCATGTCTTGAAGTAGATTTACCATTATTTGAATTGATGAAAAGTTTACTTTCGTTCTTTTTTTCATGCAATGTCTGCCTCAATGCACATTGTAGGGAAAGGGGTGCCAATTTCTATCCTTTATACGTCAACACTCCGTTTAGATCGTGTTTCAGAATAAAATCGGTGATAGTTAATACTAGAAATCTTTATTTTGTATTCTTTTATTAAAGACACAGAGAAGTTTATACATGGTCAAGTGTAACCTGTACAATTCATAACATTGTTGTAGGTCGACTTTGGTTTGAATATGTAAGTTCATTAAATTCTTAATTTAAGAAATATAAATATTGAATATTAATAGCATGGTACTATGGAAATTATAAATCATTCAAATAAAATGAAAGCTATCATACATTTTAAACCATATTCATGGTCAACAAAAGAATTACATAAAGTTGAAGGTTATATTCTTGATTCGCGGTAAGAAATATTTGTTTTGATGATATTAAATAGTTTCTTTTTTTCTGTTTTATATATAGAAAACATAAAGTGCGTGGTTTATATGGTTTTTGGACAGATGCATTATATTCCATTGATATCGAGCAATTTGAAACATTTTTAAAACAACAAAAAAAAGATGCAAAAAGTGCTGCAAAACATCCACAAGAACAAATTGGAAATTCGGCATCGTCAACAGATAATGTTGATCTAGATGAAGAAGTACCCGATGTTGATCCATCACATGAACAACTTAATCTTCCGCCGAATTCAATAACACTTTGGCGAATTATACCAAAATTAGATTATGCAGCTCAAGTAAAGATTAAAGGATATCTTTTCTGGAAAATAGATATAAACATATTTTTTTTATAGTATTATAATTTTTCTTTATTTACTATGGCACTTAATGAATGGACAGACGAAGATCAAAAATTGCGTCCACCACTACCCCCAACAGATTCACGATTTCGTCCAGATATTCGTAAAATGGAAGAAGGTGATATCGATGCAGCTGGAGAAGAGAAAAATCGTCTGGAAGAAAAACAACGTGAAACTAGACGAGCAATGGAAAAACATCGAGAAGAATGGCAACCAAGGTATATTTCTTGTTAGAAAATGATAATTAAGCGCATGTTTGACAGAAGCTTAGTTCATTTTCGCTTTCCACAAGTCTTACTACACACACAAAGTGATTCCATCATACACAGCATAACATGAAGTTGAGGGCGGCATATGAAAAATGAAGATGTGCTCCATAGAATGAACAAGTAGATGATGATCTCATCGATAAACGATAACTGAATATTGATATTCACCTTTTGAATTTATCGAAATGTTACAAGAAGATGAAAACTATGTTCATTATCGATTAGCAAAAATCCCGTAGCATGTAGAAGTTAAAAGAAAATTATATGGATTATGAAAAGTTTTCAAACCAACTGTTAGTTGCTCTCGTATAACGTTTGATACATAATTCGACGAGCTTACTAAATATTCGTATTTATAATCATATCCTATGTTCCTTATTCTTGAATAGATTATTAGTTATTCTCTTACCCTCTTTGTATTCTCTATAATACTAATAAAATTTGTTTAGCAATTTTATCTTTTTACCATTGCGACTGATTGTCGTAGACCTATTTCTTATTTAGTTTAATAATCTTAATATTTTTATCTTGTTGTTTTTTCAATTAATTAGATGGTTTCGTCTTGTTAAACATGAAGTAACTGGACATGAAGTATGGGTATCAAACGAAAAATATTGGCAACGAAATTGGACCAATTGTCCACACATCTATTAGTATCATTAATTTCGTTTTTCGACGGTGGTCATTTGTTTTTATTTATTTTTCTTTCATTGTGTCTATTTTTGTTTTTGAATGTAATTTCAATTCATTTATAGGCATCGTTTATAGTTAAATAAATCTTGTGCTCATCATATCATTGCTTAAATTTATTTTAAATAGGCAGTAAAATTGAATTTTATTTACTTTTTTATTTTATATTATTATTTGATCATAGTATTATAAACACGAGAATATAAGAAAGATCGATGTTTTTCAAATGACTTTTAAAAGGAGCAATATAGGAGATCTATGAGTCTATCTAAATGAACGAAAAACAACTGAGTTATATTTTTGAAAATACAATTCTGAAAATATTTTTCGTAGTATGTTGGCTTTCAGTATAACTATTCAATATAGAAAATTGTTCTCTATCAATATAAGCAAGGTCAACATCTCTTCTTGGTCTGTTTGAAAGTTGTGAAAGTTTTCTAGAGACTCTTGATTTCAGTGGTTCGACCTTGAATCCCATGAACACAGGTCTTGATAAGGAGAATTGATCGTGATCAGTCCAATGGCAATTCTTATTTTTGATTTTGAAAAGGTCTTTAAGCATTGGCAGCAAGATTTTTGATATTTTACGTTTTCTTGCTGCAGAAGTTAAACCGCCGATGTCATTGATTTAGATCTTCTTGAAATCGAAAATAAACAGTGTCACTTGAATGAGCTCGACCACTTATTTCTACCATAATCTATATTCAGGTGGTACACGTTCCAACCACTAAAACCAAGAGTTTCTAGAAAACTTTTGTAACTTTCAAACAAAGCAAGGAGATGGTGTCAGCCTTTCTTATATCGAAAAAGAACAATATACTCTATCGAACAGTCATATTAAATGGCGGCGGCTAGAATATTCGGCAACTATTAGGAGCAATGGCGGTAGTTGAGAATTTTCTCTAAAAATCGGCGAACGAAGGTGGTTCAGTCAGTAGGTCTACACCCGTATACGTGGTCACTATGTAAAACTTCAGTTCAGTTTCCGAAGATAGCCTTTTTCGACACCGACTCTAGGAATACTCCATCAATTTATGTGAAAATGTTGTGCACCGCAGACCACTCTGTCATCATAGATGAGGGACGTAGACTATTGGAGCGGTAGTGAACAAAAAGCGAGTTGAGTGGTGTGCGTCTGCAACCACAGTTCTACAAATATTCAAAAATAACCGAAGCTATCTTAATATCTCATCGTAAAACACTTCTAGAAGCTTAAATCACAGTATCCACAAGTATCTTTGCCTATGAAAAAGGATATATTCCATTTGAAAGTGAACAGCAAAGCAGAGGATGCATGTCCGTGAGTATGCACAATTTCTAAAAGCTCACTCTGTTTTTCCCCTCCACAATAATAACATGATTCCTGGCAAGATCTCTTAGAATATGTTCGAATCATTGTTCAGCGATTCTATTTACAATGGCTTTACGAGCAATTTTTGTGATGTAAAAATGTTGGAAAAAGGATTTGAATTGAGCATCAATCAATCGAGCATTTCTGCTACTAAGAAACTGTTCGCGAGTCACTATCTCTAAAGGGAATATCTTAAAATCAATTTTCCTAAGCTGCACCTACCATCTAAACTATGCAACCGTACAATATAGCTTACAACTCCTACGCCCAGCTCAAATCCAAATATTTAGACCTCGTACCCCTTAGCTCATCGGCATCTTAATCCTGATATATTCACCCCACGAACATATTCTAATATCATCAGCTACCATCATTAACATTACTTCAACCATTTGGCCAGCCAGTTTGATTTTTTTTTGTTTCTGCGTATTCTAATATGAATTCAAACCATATTAATGACTTCTATAGAAAAAGGGCTGTTTTGAAAAGAGTTGCGCAGCTTTTCTCAGTCACTATTTTCATAAGAGCCATCCACTTGAAGAAACCTTGGATGTTGATGGGTGGTGTGCTCTTTCACTGAAATTTTTATTATTCTTTATGCAGCAACACGATAACACTCAGCATTTTTTTGTGTTGACAAAAAAGGAGAAGAAAAAGAAAAAAAACACACGAAAATCCGATAAAAATGATGACTGCAACAGCTCACGAACAGAAGCGGCAAAAACAACCAAAATTTGCATACGTAAAGTTGTATAGATATTTCTCGGTTGCGTTTCTATTCTGGTTTATTCAGCAATAAAGCACTTTTCGCTAAGCTCACTTCATATCATGATTTCAATAGTTCTCTGTACTTTTGAACAAATCTGGATGGCATAAGGTAAGAAACAGTAATACTAACTGCGTCAAACGAATGAGTTAGGAAGTGGCGGAAAAGTTCTTCATCAAAAACTTCTTTCAATCGATTGCTGCAAACATTTTTTCAAGAACTCCAAAATCCATCGTACCGTTCGAGTTATGCAAAAAAGATATGCCGAAAGTGATCGATCTCAACAAGGTCAATAACCACACATAAAGGATGTGCAGGTGTGGTGTGGGTGTGAGTCTGACAGAATACAAGACTGACATGCACACCAACACCCAGACCTACATCCAAACCCAAGTGGGAAAAGCGGATCTCGACCGATTGCAATGAATCCCAGTGGATCCCATTCCATCCCACAATCCGATGAGATGCACCGGAATCTGTCTCTTCTCCCTTCAGGTATCGAGAACTATTGGGATCCTATGGGATCCGCTGTTTCCCTCTTGTCCACATCTACACCCACACCCACACCCAGCGGATCCTGGTGCATCCTAGCGAATCCCTGTGCGTCCTAGTGGATTCTGGTGAATCCACCAGGATCCACCTTTTCCCCATGCTCACACTCCACACTCACATTCGCACCCACACCCAGATCTACACCCTGAAAATTCACACAGACATCGACGCCCATAACCACACCCACATCCTACAGTCACACCCCACAACCAGAGCCAGATCCGACAGTCACGTTCCACACCCACATCTACACTCACCCACACTCACACTCATATTCACAACCACACCCATACCCAGAGCCACATCTCACAGTCACACCCCACACCCAGGCCCCCATCCCACAGTCACACTCCACATTCACACCCACACCAACACTCCATACCAGAACCCAAAGCCTCATCACACTGTCAAACTCCAGAGCCAGATCCCACAGTCACATTCAACACCCACACTCACATCCACATCCACACCCATACCCATACCCAACCAGAGATGTTCATGGGGGCGCAACAATCGACGCTAAAGTTGCCTGCAGGGTAACACACACGTCGATTGTTGCGACCTCATGGACATCTTTGTACCCGACACTGAAAGTGACTTCCCAGACTCACACTCCATATTCATACCCACATCCACACCCATACCACACACCCAGACCCCGCGCCCACACCACACCCAGAGCTACATTCACGCCCATACCCACACCACACACCCAGAGCCACATCCACACCCATACCACGCGCCCAGAGCCACATCCACACTCACACCTCGCACCCACATCCCACAGTCGCACCACACACCCAGAGTCATATCCAACTCAAACTCCACATACAGAGCCAGACACCACAGTCACATTCAACACCCACACCCACTCCTCGTTTGTTGTGAAAATAAATTTTCTCGCTGACATCTAGATAAGGATAGATGAGAGTGAGCTGAGGTGAACGCTTTGAAGGGATATTCCATTTTTTTATGAAAGGCATTTTAACAGAATGACCTTAAATGAGGTCTTATGAACGAGAAATTGAAGGTCTATCAATTGGCAAATGCTTCGAATCACACGATGCTTAGAGTGGGGCGAGACGCAGTTGACTAATATCCCGTATCCGTACTCCCGCCCAAGCCCGTATCCAAATGTAAATCCACATCCACACTCGGGCGCAGATGAAGGCGCACAGAGTTGTGCACACTTAGGCTACCACGCCCTCAGAGAGACACCTGAATTTCTTGGAAAACATTTACATACGCTCGTTCATAGCTAGGTGCACATCCACCCACACCATTAGTCATATCCCAGGTTCATCGTTTCTAATACTCAGCGATATGTGCTGTCTCATCCAGCCAGAGTTCTACATCGAGGTCTACAGTTAGACATACGTGCATCTACTCTCATATCCACACACAAACATGAAGCTGCGCCCATACTACTGATGTCTTCATAAACATGCAGGATGACCTGCCAATGGGATCACAGGGTTCTACTCAGACGATGAACGATCTACACTTACACGCACAGCCAAGTCAGTGTGAGAGCAAAGTCCACAACAGTCCACACCCATAGACTAGTGCATCATATGATCCAGGGTCTCCAGCATAGGCACACTTACGAGCTTTGGGAAAGGAATATGTAGCTCGTGAGACAAGCGATAAAGTGCGTTCGTGGCTATCTTTATACTCTCGTCCCACATCATGTCCCGTGCACACGCTGCGCCCAGAAAAGTGGACTTGCCATTTGAAGGTGCAAAATCTTTAGTTAAGTTAAGATCAAATTTATGGAATTGTAACCGCTAAACTTGTGATGATCTCAATCAATAGGTTCAGCATTCTCCGTATGTCTTTTTCTAGCATAAGAAAAAGTGAGGAAAGAAGTTATAGTTAGGAACTTTGATGATTACCAGAAATGTTATCAATTAGAAACTTTCGAGTTCATAATTCTAAATTGTTGAAACCTTCATTATTGGTTAAAACCAGTCAAATAAAGTAGCTAAGATGTTCTAAAATTTGTTCAAGAACTCGTGAAAACTAGCCTGCTCATTAGTTTTGTACTGGGGCTGTTTCCAGCCCGCATGCTAGACGCTCGATGTGTGCACCTATGAGTGCAATACCGATGTCCACACCGAGCGCCTCAAATATAGCGCATTGATATTTTGTATAATGTTACATATGCTTAAGTCATGTAACAAGATGACGTGAGAAATATTCAGGTGCATGCTTCGGTTTTTCCAAGAGATTAATATCGATACCAGTTGCCACTAGCTATACATTCATCATGACATTTCATTCAACGTTTAGTGATGACCATCGTGTGAAGACATTTGATATTGAGGCTAATTTGATAAAGTTTATCAAGATGTAGTGAATTGTGAGTTTTTTCTTGAAGTTACAGAGAAAAGGAATTCTTTCTGAGGTAAAAGTCGAAACCCAATGCTAAATCTGAGTGAGTTGTAAACAAGTCAAATCAACTTGACCGTATTGCACATTTCTCTCGAGTTACTAATCGGTTCGTATGAATGAATTCTATGATTCTGTAACACAATTTTATAGGTGAATCCTTAGAGCTTTTTATAAAATATAGTTTTTCAAAAGACATAAAAGACAGTTCTCTTCATTTTGAAGATAATTACGAAGTCTACTTTCAAAGAAACTTGTCCTAATTTTGTGACTCCTTGTATTGAGAAGTCATATGGATCGAGTTTTGTAGTAACTGGCAGAATACTGAAGGTGACCTAGAAGTATACTCTTTTGTCTAATTTGATGATTGTAAGATCCATATACTCCTTGATAAGCAGTAAAGCATTCATCGGCATTGTGACCCCAATATATCGAGAAATTATTTTATACAAAACTCTTTCCAAAATTCATTGTTATCTATATTAGACTGCTCATGAATCTCATATATTTAATTATTCTTCACATTAGTTCCTTCATAACCAACACTCACTATCCTTATCATCTTATCACATTTTCTAATTTTGTGACGTATTAGTGTTTGACACGTTACGTCCTACAACATAGATAGATCAACACGTTGATTTTCACAAAATTGCGCTTTACCCAGCTCGATAACTGTTATTTTACTACTTTTGTCTAAACAGGGACAGATTATATCCAAAACATATGCTTCAGTACTAAAAAAGCGACTACTTCTCTATAGTTAGCGACATAAGGGCGCTGCTATATATCACTATACACATTTTTCAAAATAAAAGTCTCTATCGAGAAGACTTGACTAAAATATCATGATCTACCTGAAGTATCATGCTTTTTAAAATGGTCAAAAGTGAGGCATACTATCTTAAATCCGGGTGGCAAATGAGAATCTGTTTCTAATGTAGATCTATCGTCTGTAATGTGAGCAAATTTTCATTTTTTTTAATATTCAAGATAAATACAAAACTACAATTCTCATTTTATTACTATTTCTGGGATACACGATCGGACAAAAGTAACAGATCGATTCGACGACGACAAAGGCTTCAAGTTCGATCAGTATGGCTCATATCAATACGCGCCTTCTCGATGCTAGTGAAGAACACTTAAATACACTTATTCCTTTGCTTGGTTATGCAACGAAGCGTCTTGTTTCATTAAAAGAAGCTGTTTTGGAATTGCGTGAGTTAGTTAATGAAGTTGACGCTCGCGTTTGGACAGCAACGAATCGATGCAGAAATCCAGCAGACAAACTTACTCAGGATGAATCTGCCGCGATTGTTTTGTATACAATCGACTGGGACCCCGATCATCCAAGTCTTTATTCAATTTTAAATCGAACACTTCGCCTTGAAGATCGAAGGAAACTTGTTCCTTGGTTTTCGTATTTAAAACTATTCTTAACCGCCCTGTTCAAGTTGCCATCAATCCGTTGCACGGTCTGGCGAGGTGTACTTGGTGATTTACGTTCGCAGTACAAACAGGGCGACAATGTTACATGGTGGGCATTCAGTTCATGTACGATTACCATCAACGTTTTGGAAAGTAGTCAGTATTTGGGTACATCAGGTCCACGAACGTTATTCGCAATCGACTGCTTGAATGGAAAAGATATTAAACGGCATTCATATTATGCACAAGAAGAAGAAATATTGCTTCTTCCATGCACCCATTTTGAAGTCATTAGCCACTTGAGCAGTATGGAAAATTTATATATTATTCATTTGCGTGAAGTGCCACCACCATTTACACTTCTCGAACCGCCAAATTCCGGGTCAGCAGGTAAGAAGAACATAAAAATATCTCTAGTATGTATTGTAGCATGACTGATATCAGAAATTTGATAAAATAATAAGCTTTGAAATGCATAATATTGAAAATTATCAATAGTGCCAGAGCTGAGTAAATATTTCAAGATAAAAATGACGTCACTCTTGCAGATCGTACAATTGAAATTTTTTTTATAAGGCATTCGAACAAAAGCCCCTTGAAAAAGAGCTCATTGCTCAGCATGGTTACTCTACTAGTTGAGTGTATCTCATCCAAAAAATAAACAGACTTTCAGAGGTCGTGATTTTCATTTTTGTTATTCATACGTATGGTGTTCATCGTTTCCAGTAAAAAAAACTGAAATCGCATGCCTTTTATATAATGCGTCATCTGTTGGTTGCATGTCGATCGTAGTCAACAACTGAAATAGCCGTGTCAACTCGCCTCTAACCTGAATCCGAATGACGAAAGTAGAATCAGTCACGCTAAAAGTCTCGGTATTTTCTCCTACACACACCGAAAGAGATCTCTTTCGAAGTATCTCTCTTATCATATGTGAATGTTAAACTTAAATTATTGAAATAGAGACGTCGGTACCTATTGGTACTTGAATTCAAAATAAATCTACTCCATAGCTGTATTTCGCCGAACGACTCAGGTGGTTACGATTTTACGAATATTATTTTATCTCAAAATGACTTATTGGTTCAGATCAGCTCAACAAAACGTATTGATTAAGGAATATAGCGAGTTGAATTGGTAGTTCGATGTAGCTCTGAATCATGGTTGAAAAATATTCTAGAGAAGCAATAATGACAGATGGAAAGAGCAAAGGGAATACTAAAGTCAAATACATGATTCTCATGATAGAAATTACTTTACATGAGAATAAAGGAGAGAATATATCCCTAAAGTGTTTGTACTCCGATACTTATTGTAGTACTAAAGCCTTACTGAACAATCTATATGTACATAGATATGTACATATAAAAGCCGTTGTTGAATTGTAAAGTCTACATCTTTAAAGGGACTTTGCCGAATAAATATGATTGTTAACACATTTTTCTGCCTAATAAATAATTGAATGTTGTTTTTCCTTGAAAGTGTAAGCTCTAATTAATCTGACCTTATGTAAAATAATTCATGGAAAATAAAATAAAATCGGTCATGTATTTACTATCTTATCTTATTCTCAGTCACAACCATGCATATTTTCATTTCGATTCTTTCTGTTGTGGTTCTGAATGCATTGTTCTCTTAATGCGTCTAAGAGTCTCAAGAAACAACACTCCTAGAAGATTAGATAAGAAGAATCCAATTCAAGTAGAACATGTCTTTGTCCTACATGATCTAAAAGAAGCAAGACAAAGACAGCAGTGACAGATAGAACGAGTTAGGCGTAACTTTCTCATTGGGCAACAAATATTTTGGCTTTATTAGAGGATAGTAAATCCGATCAATTTAGTATGCAAACTGAGTGTTTTACCTGATGACGAATGAATAACTTGAAGTATGTAGTACACTACAAGACCATGGTAGACCAGAATCGTTCACTGATTAGTTCTTCTTCTCGAGATCGATTTCGACTCAATCTTAGTGCTCGCGATGTCAGATATAGTAAATATTAGAATAGTATTTGAAGAGGTAGTTCGTGTATATTTAGACTTAACGATATTTGGTTTTTTGCTTTCATGTGATTTTTCTCTGCATAGCAGGATATTTTTTTCAACGCATTGCATGTTACATTGAACGAAGATATAACATATGAGAAAGAACAAAACTGACGTATATGTTGGATAAGTTAAGTCATCAAAAATATGATTGTTAAAATTTCCTTTTATCATAAACAAGAAAAGAAAAACAAACAGAATCCATTTTTCAGCTCTAAATTCTAATCAAATGTATAGTACTCTTTATGGCTTGCAACTTTCATGGAAAAGAAACATTTGATTTTTTTGCTGAACTTAGACAGACAAACTACTTATGATTTTGTAATTTTCTAATAATTTCTCCTGGTTTTTAAGGTTCTGGCGCTGACAAACCTAGTTACGAACAATTACAATCAAAACTGGAACAAGTCAATAATGAAAACGAGCGCCTGAAAGTGCAATGCAAACAACAACAGGCTAACATCGATAAACTTGGTACTGAAAATCAAGTTCTCAATCAAATCTGTGCTGACTTCGAAGACGAACTCCAACGTCTCAAACAAGATAATCGCCGTCTTAAGCAAGAATCTCAGCAACACAATCAAGAGATTGTTCGTCTAAGCAATGAAATTCCAAAGCATAAAGAAGAAATCCAGCGTGTCAAACAGGATAATCACCGCCTTAAACAAGAAGTCCAACAGTGCGATCAAGAGATACAGAGTCTGAACGACCAAATCCGAATTCTCAAACAAGAAATCGAACGTCTGAAACTTCCTTCGGCTGCATCAAATGAGCGTCCAAGAGCTTCTTTGACTGCATCAAATGAGCAAATGAGAACTTCTTTGGCGGCATCTACAAGGAAGAGTGGTGAGTGAAAAATTGAATTAAAGGAAATTTTTAAAAACAGTAGTCATCAATCAACCGCTATGTTCCTTGAAAAATAAATATCAAGAAAAGTGAAGATAACAATCACTATGTTTAAAATTCCACATCTAATTGGCAAACTAATCTACCTATATACATATATATGTTCTTGGAAAATCCTTATATGATATCCTTTTCAAGACGTAGATCCTATAATATGATTATCGCTTCCTGAAAGTCATCGGAGCTCCGCATTTTTATACCTCTAAAATTTAGTCTAAATTAAAAATAATCAATTGATTTGGCTAGTCAAGGTACTGACTTCTTCAAACACATTTCTTGTTTGTTCTGCAATTGTTTTATCGTACTTTGAATATATAGTCTTTGAAATCAGTCTTTTCAATGAAATTTTACGGTCTTTTTCAGTTTTTATTTAATTATTGAATGTTTAGAGTTTTTGAAGAATACTCTTTTCCTTTTCTATACTTGATATTCGACCGTTTCATGCTATCGCGTTCAATTTTTGAAAATTCCGATAGAGAAATCTCAGGTATACCTATCAACAGAAGACTCGTAGGGTTTGAGGAAGTTTCTTACACAATTGACAATCTGCGGTTTTCGGTATTCCATAGAATACTGAAGAATCTAATTAGAATTCAATGCGTGCTAGTCAGTTGTTAGTTCCATTCAATCTTGCAATGGACATTTTGAGTATGATCTTAGCTTTTTCCGTTATGAGGTAAGAGCAGTAGTCGCAAGCACCAATCATTTGAACTTGGTTTAACAGGATGTTATGTAATTTCATTTTCAAAACGATTCAGAGTTGTGCTATACATATTTTCAAAGTTCAGATATTTGCCTATTGAATGTACAGAACTCATATGTGGAAACATGCATAAATCGACTGACTCTAACTCATTTTAAAAGCACAAAGAAATCATCATTCGAGTCACTATCAAAGCCAATTCTAATGCCATACAATGCCTAGTTGATACGAGGTCAGAGGATCGAAACTCTCGAGAGTGTTCGTGGCTTATAAACAAAATAAACTAACGATTGCAGCCAATGAGGGAAAAGCGGATCCTGGATCCTGATGGAATTTGATGACTGATAGAATATATTATTTGAAGTGTGCCATGAAGAAGTTGGAAGAAGTGGGTGCTAATGGATGCGAGGATTCATTGCAGTCCGAAAAAACTAAGTTAAAAAAGGGACGAAGGACTTAGCAATCTACGACTAAGAAGAAAAAACAGATCCAAGACACCTAGATGCTTATGTCTCAGTTACTTTTGGTATATCACGATAGATTCTGTGCGTTGTCAAGATGCATCAGGATCAATGGGTCTTCCATTGATTTCAAATTATTATGGTAACGAGCAGTGGATTTTACTGCATTCTGCACGTATCTGATAGATTGTAATGGATTCTGTTGAAGTGTAGTCGATTACCGTAAGTCGTCACAGCTTTTGGCACACTTCGATAAGACTATTTTACAATATACAAGGGCTCAGGGATCCAGCAGCATTCACTTTTTCATTCATCTGAGAGCCTTAGAACTTGAGACAATCTGCTACTCTAGCCCCAATCCTATGATTCATTAAGTAAGCCTGAAAGCATCTTTCAATATTGTAAATTTGAAGGTTCCTATCACGTTTCATTCAGAATCCTGTTTCCGATTTTAGTAATACTGATTTACAAAGTATCTCATTGTGAAAGAGGATCATTTTCAGTATCTTTTGAAGTTTCTGCTGAGATTTTATTATTTAAAAATTAAGTATCCTACTAGAATCCGCTCTCGATCATACTCAAAACTTGGACAGGAATAACAGAGAGAATTATACTTAGATTTTCTCAAGGTTTTACTATGATCCTCTTCTGATTTACATCTTAATCACATAAGAATTCTACAAAGAATAATACAAGAGCAAAGAATTATCAACTGGTGTACCCTGTCTAGGTTCAATTAGGACCCTATCGCATTTTCTGACACGCTCGTATTATGAATATATCTTCTAAACGTTACCAGAATTTTCTTTATATCTCTTAAGGGACAAGTATATTTCGGATGCTTCTTAGAGTAGACCAAGGATGGTCAGAATCTTCCTAAGAAAAAATGCACGCTGAACGAAGATCTTTACAATTTTGATTAAGAGTTTGCTCAATGCATGATTTTTGAGGATTTTAACAAGATTTATAACAAGTAACGCTCGTCGCTACGACTCGCTCAACCCTCGACTGAAGGGTTAGACATACTTATACGCTAGTCCACTTTATCGAGACAGCAAATAAAAATTCTTTTAATAAGGTTTTTCGTCTGTAGCCACNATCATTTCCATTTGAACGTGCAATTATTGAAAAAGAACGTGCAAGTGGATCATATCGTTTATCATCTTATTTTGTTGCTAAATCATTAGCTGAAGCACCACTTAAACTTGTTTTACCAACATTATTTCTTATCATAGCTTATTGGATGGCAAATATCAATTCAAACTTTGGAATTTTTCTTGCTATTCTTGTTTTTCAATTACTATCGATTCTTGTAGCTGAATCACTTGGTCTTCTTTTGGGTGCAGCATTCAAAAATTTACAACATGCAATAACAGTTGCAACTGTACTTCTCATTGGTTTGATGTTAGTTGGTGGATTTTTTGTTCGAAATTTACCACATTGGAATGATACTGAAAAAGCATTACGAGATCGATTTAAAGAATTTACATNGTGGATTTTTCGTTCGAAATTTACCACATTGGTTAGGTGTATGGGGAAAATGGTTATCATTTTTTAAATATTCTTATGATGCATGTCTTCAATTACAATTTAAAGGTGGACGAATTTATAAATGTGTTGATGGATCAATTATTCCTTTATGTCGAAATAATCCTAATGGTACATTTGTTAGTAGTGAAGCAATAGAATTTTTTGGTGTAGGTATCAGTATTGGATTAAATTTTTTAGTTCTATTTGGAATGTTTGTTGTTTTTCGAACACTTGCATATCTTGCATTACGATTTATTAACAATCACACTGGTCGTACATAATTCGAAATTGTATTTTTTTTTCATGTATTGGAAAACTTGTACAGTTAATAAAATAGAAAATTTGAAATAAGATTTTTCTTCATAAAGTTTTTTTTTTTTTGAACTAGTATTACTTATTCATTGTTAATCAAATAATAGACAATCAAGAGAAAAATCAATCAGTAGATGAAATTGGCTAAGCAATGGTTATAGAAATGTCTAATGAATTGTTCAAAATTTAATCAAGGCATGTTGAATTTAATCAAATGCTGAATCATCTCTCGTCAAATTTGTTATATTATGGATAAGAGTGACAATAGTTCTGATTTATTTCCTCGAATAGTAATATCAATACTAAAATTGGTTTGATTGTTTTTTTTTTGTTTTCTACTCCCTTGATTATAAAAGTTTTCTCTGCAGATTTCCTGTACCTATTTCTATTTATTATTTGTCATTGCTTTACATATTAATGAGCAACCATAAATAATTTTATGCCATTTACTATAATAAGATCATCAATAGTTTGAGACTAATCAAAACTTAGTATGCATGTCAGATCGTAATCTATGAACATCACATATTCCTTTCGTTTGATTCTTTGCAAAATCTACGAAAGAATCCAAAGTGAAATAAAATATTTAAACATCAAGTCGTGCTTCTTTATTAGTTCAACATAATTATTACATATGTGTTTGATTAACTACAAGTATGGTTTTATATTAATCAATAAATTCAAATTTTGTAGCTATATGAATATCTATAAATAATTGTATAAGCATACAACCATTTAAATCTTTGATCTAACTAATATAATAAATAATAAAGATAAAATGGATTAAAATAATATCATCATACAGTTTTACTTGCTTGTCATCGTAAATTGGATTGTTTACTACTATGTCTTAAAACAAGAATATTGTGATAAGCAACACGAAGAAAAAAATATAAGATGTACGTATAATTAAAGCACCGAAAATATTTTTGCAAGGCGTACAGCTCAAATGGAGAGAGAAATACAATTGAATTTCATTTGAAATAAAATTTTGTCAGAAAAACATTAATTTAGTATATAGGAGTATAATGGATATTTACTTTCATTGATAGTCAGCAATAAAAACCAAAGTTTCTAAGAAATTCCTTTTGCCTAGTAGACTTTATAGAGTTGTATGCATCGATCATTTTAGTAAAAACGATTTTACATTTGACATATTAAATGATGATACTAGAATCAAAATAATGCATTACGTCATATCTTTAGCAATAAATCTATAGTTTCAGTTTTTTTTCAGTATTTCAATCGTAGCATCATCATTTATTTGTCGAATATAAAACTTTTTTTTTTATTAAAATGATTATTGTACACTATAGTGTGAGATCTACTGGTGAGTCGCATCACCACAAATGTATTAAATCAAATAGCAAAGAAATTTTCTTATTAAATGTCCTTGTAGATTTAACTGTGTATTAACTATATGAACTAAATTGTCCGCTAGCGAAGTGACTTCACAAAATTAAAACACGTGTATCTCGAAATAATGAACTTTTCTAGAGCTAATTTTTGTATGTTAAGTTTTTCAAAGTATCCTGAAAAAATTAGTCACATAGACTTTTTTAGTGTAAAAAAAGAACTACGAATTGAGGCAGCACTTTTGAAAACTAAACAGTACATTCTATAGACAACTCTTGATAATTACTTTTCGTTAACAACGTAATGGATTTATGAAAGAATACTCTTCTAATCGAATGAGAAGTTCAATACCGATTCCAAACAGTATAAATCTTTTTTCAGAATCTCTAGCTGATTGTAAGACAAAATTTTTTGTTTGGGAACTTGATAAAATCTCTACAAAGCCAGATTCTTGAAATCCGATCTTGCCGAAAGAATATAAATTAAATGAAAAGTAAGTATATTCTGTCTTTCCTGAAATGGTTCATATATTGTTATGCTGTATTTGTTTCAATGTTAGTCAAACATTCATTTCATAAATAATCATAATTTTCTTCATGAATAATTATAGTTATTTGTCGCTCAGAAGTAAAAAGTTATCATTCATCTAATTTTGTATTAACAAGTAAATATTCAAGTTGATGATTAAAATAATCTAATCAAGAATATTGATCGAAGGTAACAAAAACTGAAAATCTTCGCTATGTTTTGACTAAATGGATTGCATTTTTTATTAGCATTGTAACCTTTCACGAGTTATGAAAAAGCAATATAATTGTTTGCCTTGGTTAAAAGTAAACTATGCATAATAATTGTAATTAATTTTTCAGATTATTTTCATTTACTCTGGAATTGATATCACAGATAGAAAACTGCAAAATGATTTACGCATAACTTATGAAAGGTTACAGTTCTTTATTGAAGTCAATGATGATATTTCAAAGCAATGTTTCACGTATAAATATGACCTATGATCACTCCTTTATCAATGGTGAAAAAAAAATCATCCCATGTTGTAAAAATATAACAGAGATTTTCAGCTTTTTTTTGTTGCCTTCAATAAAGTGACTTTTGAATAATTGTCTATTTAGTTCTTAATTTATGAACATGTTTAATAGATCCTATTTGAAACTCTTTTTTTAACTCAATAATCTGTTATTTCACGATAATGATATACATAACGAAGATTATTTTTACATGAATGAAAACTGACTACGTGAATCATTTGAAATATAATCAAATGGATTTAATGAACAATAATGCATGACATACACATGATAATGATTTACTTGTTTTTACACAAAATATTCATGTTATTATCTAGAATAACTTAATTTGATTATTATATTGTATCAAAATCAATTTTTATTTTACAGACATTATCTATAAGTGAGATTTCCAATGAACCTTCGATTCATTCATCTTCTTAATTGACGACATGTAATTCTTCATGTAATAGTAATAACGATAAAACGTAATACAAACAAAATTGGCTAAAAATATGTTGTTGATTGTAATAAATGACGAGATTTCAATGTATATATGTAATAATTACGCTCAATATCGATATGAAACTGCAATTTTCTCTCTTGAGCTAAAGAAACAATGTTTATATCGGTGGTAATTATTAACAACTGATATATAAATATATGCTACATATGGATTGATAGAAAGAAAATGGAATACATCAATCTTTAAACATATGTGTAAGTAGAATGAGAATGAATAAGTTAGACTATTTTGAAAATGACATCGAGAATAAACAAACATTCTGACTACGATAGAGTTTGTAGAAGAAACACAACTATAAACTTAATTGAAAGAAAAATAAACAAGTGTAAATATATTATTTTCATCTTCAAGGACAATAGTTATGATCTATATAGTTCCAGATAATCAATAAATATAAAAATGAAATAATATTTACGAAAACAATCAATTAACTTATGTTTACAGTTCACCAAAAAGAAATTGAAAAATATTAATCTCAACATTTTTCATTGATTATCAAATCTTTCTTTTTGTGTATAAAATCAGAAGAAATAATTATTAAGAATTTATTCAAAACTAGCTACATATTCCTCATATGATCTTTTTCATATCAATAAAACACACATAAAAAAGAAAATTGTTCATCTTAAGCTGAAATTAAAGTTTATTGATTGACCATTAACAATAATAGATACATTGATATGGTAAACTTAACTAAAGCTAAATGATGCCAATCGACAAAAAAATACTTCCCTTGCCTACGTGCTTCCTGTAAAAAGAACAAGTCAATCAATATTCTAGTCATTGTTTATTTAGATAATTTGAAGTGTAAATAACAGACATTTTATTTTCTGATATAAACAGAAATACAAATACTATAAATTTTATTTTAAACGAATCTTTTAATTTTTTAATATTTTGTTTTTTCTTTCTTATCAATGGATTAACAGAAAATATGTGTTTCGATTGAAAAAAAAATTCTGATTATGATATTTTCTAGACAACTAACAAATTCATAAGAATGCAAAATAGATGCTAATCGAAATGCATGGACAATCATAATCATATTCATTTCATGGCTTGTCAAATATATAAGATTGCTTAGATTTCAGTCGATGTTTCCATCTGTTCTTTATCATTAATTCAACGAGTTATACAAAAAATCTCGTCTTCATAAAAATAAATAAATAAATAAATTTATATATACATATATATATATATATATACAAATTCGAATTGAAAACGTAAATGATATTAAGATGATAGCTGAGAACAAGAATCATTGCAATATTACGGATAGTCATTTGCACAGAAATTAGAGATATCAGACAGTAGAAAGACAAATGTCTTTTTGCTCGCCTCATTTCCGCTATCAGCGGCAGCATCAGTATTAGAAGAAATGATGTGTATGTAACGAGTACTGTTGGTTTGTTTATTCGAGTTTCTCTCAATCTCGCTATGCTTCTTTTCCTTCTTTTCATCAAATACAGATAGATCTCAACCGATCAATGACACATGTGTATGTGTGTGTGTCTCTACGCATGTATGATAGTTCTATGCTCAGTTGATAATATTGCGCGATTGACATTTACTTCGCTCAGATGCTTTTTCCCCCCTTCTTACATTGACATCGATATCCAACGATGCATTGATTTATTGATATTTCTACGTTTTCTACTGTTGTTCTTGCTACTGTTAACGACAACAATGATTAATCATTTTGACGAAGCAATAGGACCTTTGTTTTACTGAACAGTTGTCATTCTTTTTTTGCTTTTATCCCTTCGGCGAATAGTTTAATATCGTAGTCTCGTCACTAGTATATAAAATACCGGAAGGAAGAATAGTGAAATGTCAAGTTTTCTCTCTTTTTTTTCCTTTTTTATTCGATACATAAAGCCTACGGGTGTTCCATGTCCACAATCTAATGAAGACAGATGAGAATCGTCAGAGAGTCACAAACATATGAAAAAACTGTTTCTGTTTTTTTCTTATTTCTACTATTCATCCCGCCTATGTGTTATATACACACACATTGTGTATCTATGTTAATTAATTGATATATACTTTTATGCTCGACAGTTCGTCAAGGTAATTTCGGTAAAGAAAAGAAAAAAGAATGGCATCATTAATTAGCATTTGTCTTCGTTTATTTTTCTTTCTATTGAACTTTATCGATTAAAAAACATGTGACCTCATTATTATGAATATTCAATGAGAAATCATTGTTTGCAATCAAATATGTTTCACAGAATTATTCCTTCAACATTAAAATAAATGCATCAATTAGACACAACAATATACGTCTGCACAATGTTTTCTCATGCCTACATTCTTCTCTCGTCTTATCTTTCTTGTTCTATTACGAAGTATTTGTAGCACACCATCACATCAGTCAGACGTATAATGATGAAAATTGACTATTCAATAGTAATATTGTATTTCTAAGAAATTTTTCGATATATTCTTTGAATGAGTACTTTGAAGTATATTTCATATTATTCCTTAAAATTAGAATAGAGACTTTTCTTTTATATATCTCTTTATTCATGATTTTTCTTTTTGTATTAACTAACACTTTTATTGTCTTGATAGAAGGATTGATTGCTTGTCTATCATGCTGAGTATTGATCGTTGAAATATAGAAACGAGCGAAGAGAGAAGAAAAAAAAAGAAAGCAAGTAAAGATTGCTTAGTTTATTGATCGAGTGCTCATTCGTTGATGATGTCTTTCTCCTTCTTCTTCTCTCCCTCTCTCTCTCTATCTTATTCTATCTCTCTAATTAATAACGAGATGCAGATTCGATCTTCTTGTCTACGCGACTGATTGACTTTAGCTTATCTGTTGTGCAACTACAAACAAGTTATATTGTCCGGCAAAAAAAAGGGCATAAGTTCCTTTACTGAAACAGACAACGAGTAAACGTAGATAGGATTGGTAAGGTCATATATAGATAATAGCTTATGTAATTTAATTTTCATTTCGTCATATAAATGCTTATCTAGCCACTTTTCTATGTGGCTCTATGTCTATTATTCAAGTTTCATATAGGCGACAACTGTTGATATTTACTTGACATATTCTTTCTTCTATTACGATCTCAATTGATTCCTAGAAATAGAGAACCCCATAGACATCGAGAATTAAAGATTTGATGCGGCGGCTTAGAATATTGTGATCACTGAAGGAGAAAATTGTGAGCAATGATTAACAATTCTATTGTTTGTCACTGGATGTTTTATATTTTTATATGTGGTTAGACAATGTTTTGTCTATTCTATTTTCATACGTTATCGATGCCATATTAAATCCATCATCATCCTCATTAACAACATTCTCTCGAGAAGAACCATGAAAATGATGTAAATTTCCGTTTTTCCACATTGTTTTCTCTATATTTTTATCTTTTTTATGTCGAACAATCATGATTACCTGTGTAACACCAAATAAAAGCAAACGTACTAAATAATATAAATGTTGCAATAGAATAGAAATACAAATAAGAACAATAGTGACTAGCTCTGATCGTCTATATATATATATATATTCACATCCTGAAACAATTGTTTCATTGACTTTTGGACACCTCATGATCACTCCTAGGGCTATGTTACGAGATGAATAAAACATCTTATGAAAGATTTACGTTTCTTATCATTATCATTGGATGATGAGATGAGATCGATCAAAGAGATAGAAGCGAACACATAGTGTAAGCATGCACACGATATCAGCAGCACTTGCTTTACAGTTAGTGTCACTATCTATGGAAGCAACAGAAAGACAGAAAGAAAGAGCGTTGCCGAAACGAGCCGAGAAAGAGAGAGAGAGAGAGAAAGAACAGTGTCGAAGCACAAAGAATTTCATTAGAATGACGACGCTAGAGATGCGCGCTGCTTGTATTTATGTGTAGGGTTGAGAGCGAGCAAAGAGAAAGTCGTTGCGTTGTTCGCATCTTTCCAATGCGCGCAGTTGCGTTTACACGCGTTGATGATAATAAGACGACGAGGACTGAAAATAAATCATATGTAACCATTATGTGTAGCGTTTGACTCGTTTATGTGTGTGCATAGACAATCTTGACTAATAGTTCTTCTTTCTCTTCACTGCCATTTAATATCATTTCAATAAATTTTTTTAGTTTATCTTATTTATGTTTTTTTTTTCTTTAGGCTTTATTTTTTTTATTCAAGATCAAATAAATTTAAGAAATCTCATTAAAAAAAAAATCTTTAAATATTGATTTATTTTTTTTGTTTTATTATAATTAAAGTCTACCTGTATATGTATATGTTCGTATAGTTAACTTCGTGCCGGTGTGGCTACTAATTTTTTCCTATTGTTATTATTACTGTTTGACACCGTCCAAATGTCGCGCGCTATACAACGTCTTATGAAAGATTATCGCAAAGCAGAAAAGTTAATAGGCCGTTCAACAAATGAATCGTTTGCCGATTTTACGAATTCAGCTTCATTTACAACACAAACAATGGCACAAATAAGACGAGATCCAGAATTAACACAAGATGAAAAAAAATATCTTGTTGCTGTTGAACGTAAGTTCTAATTATAAATGATTAATAAGCAAACAAATCTATGATACCACTTGAGCATCGTCAACAAATTCTCAAGTATATCTCTCCGACATACATCATTAAAATAAAACAGACAAGAGAAAAAGAAAAGAAAGAAAGAACGAAAGAAAATTAAATTTTCTATTCTTTAATCAATATATCTATATATAAATATGTATCTTTGACATGCTTCAAAATGTTTTCAAGCAAACAAAAAGAAATGAATAAAATTTTTATTCGTCGTAAAATATAACACGAATAATGATTTGTTGTATCAGCTGCCGCAACAGTTGATATAAAAATAGCATAGCACATGCTATTTTCATTTCTTGAATAGTTATTAAAAAAAAAACTGATCGATTAATGAGATGTTTTTGTTTTGTAGGTGGTGATATGGCTACAACTCGTCGATATCTTGCTATTTCATCGGGAACACCAGCAGCTTTACTTGATGTTGACATGCCGATGACACCAATTAATATTAATTGTCTTGATCCATTAGGGCGAAGCGCACTTTCCATAGGTTTAGTTTCTATAATTGAAAAATTTCAAAATATTTCAATAGATTTGTTTTTGTTTTGCTATTTATTTTTATTTATCTAGCAATTGAATATGAAAATATTGAAATGATTGAATTATTACTTAGTTATAATGTTGACACAGGTGAAGCTTTATTACATGCTATTGATGAAGAATTCGTTGAGGGTAAAATAACTATTAGTTTGTAGTTGATTAGATAATCAATGCATAATCATACTCTTGACAGCTGTCGAATTACTTCTTCAACATGAAGATCTAAAACAACAACAACAAAAGAATCACATTAATGTATATAACAATCGAGTAAGTCAGTTGTGCTTGTCTATTAAGATAAAAAAAAATGTCGTAATATTCATGTTATATATCATAGATTGATCGATTTGTATCGATGATCAATTAGTTAAAACTAAATAAAACATTCTGAAACACACGATTAATTTCAATAGTTAATAGGTTTTCTGTAAAACAATATCAAAAGCATTCAATGCTAATATATGATTAAATTAAATTGTTTCAGTTCTATACCGTAGGGAATTGAAAAACAATTTTCTGCTTCATATCCTTTGTAATAAATAAATTCTATTTGGTTCGATTGAAAAGTTATTTTATATTTAGCTAAATAAATTGATGGAACATAAACAAAACTAAGGAAACAAAAATATCTTTCGGGACCAAATTAATGTTGATAAGAGAGATTATTATGCAGAAATATTCAGAAGCAGAATCATATTTCTAATAACGAAATAAATTTAATATTTTTTCCCTTTTTTTTTTTCTTTCAATTAAGTATTCAAATAATATTGGCATAATTGATAAATCTAATCCATTATTCACTTTGGCTCAAGATGCATTGGAAAAAGAGAAAAAAGAACAACAATATGATATTACTCAAAAGGTAAGCTAGAGTTTTTCTATCGACTGATTGAATCTTTTTTTCTTACATTGCGTGTGTTAATAAAATGCATGATATTAAATAAATATGTATGTGTATATGGGGGGTGTAGTTGAAATTGGCTTGGTCTTACTTTCGTCCATCAAAGCCAGATCTATCGTCGACACAGGATGGTAGTACTGCGAATGATCTTGAGGTGGGTAAAGCTATTAAATGTAAACCGAAAAAAAACTTCGATCAACAATTACAACCCGCCTTCTCTATTCCTTGTAAATGCCAACTCTTCTTTATCCGATTCATAGCAGTTGTCTTTTGCTTGGAAAAGCCATCAATCAATTTATATACATATCTTTTATCATACAAAATTTTGTGCTTATTGTATTTATTTACAATTGTATTCATTTTGTAGTATTAATAGCACTGCAAGCATGTAAAAGCCCATTATTGTTGAGCACGCATATTCAGTCATATATTATTATATACCTCATTTATTTATTTGCTATGTATAGCTACACTTAAAAGCATATCTTTCTATTTCATTACCTCTTCTTTTTCTTTGTTTTCTTTTCCTACATCTTATTTGTTTTTAGAATACAAAGTCTAAATGGTCATTTCTCCTACAGGCAGTACGAAAAAAGGAGCAGCAGCAATCGGTAGGCGTTATGCCCGCATAAAAGCGAGACTTGAAATTTTCGTCTTCTTCTTCTTCTTCTTCTTTTCGCTAATGACGTGCATGAATAGAATATTTTTTTAAAAAAAAACTTTGATGATCGTTGTTACTGCCAGTATACTTAGACGCACCTGCTCATTTTTTTTTGTTGTTGTCGCACATACATCTATTCACATAGTCATTGTTCATAACACATTATTTTCTTTTTAATTATGATTTGTTGTTCGCTTCTTCTTTTTATTTATATTCACGCAATGCATAGAATGACGATTGAATTCTTTCGCTAAGATATGTCAAATTATTATTATAAAATAATTTATTTTCATACAAACATAAACAAAAGAAAACCAAAAAAGAAAAAAAAAATCTAACCGCACTATTCTTTTTACCAATTTTCTGTGGCGTGCGTGAGCGAATGAATATGTTCGTATGTGAATGTGTTTGAGTAATTAGATTCTTTTTTATTTTATTATTTTAATTGAGCACGACAACAATCATCATGTCCATATTAATAAAACCTCTAGCATACCTTAATACTCAATAAAAAAAAAATATCATGAATGGCATCTAGTAGATATTTAATTAATAGTAATTAGTATATACTAAATCTATGTAGCTTATATTTAAGCAAAAAAAAAAACAAATCTATTTGCACAGTATCTATATGTATATGTGTGTGTGTATGTGTGTGTGCGTGTGCGTGTATTCTTTTAATAATTCTACAATAGATATTATTATGTATATAGATCGATTTAAATTATATTATGTATATATTTAGGTGCATGAACAACTTAATTTGAGTACATCTCGCTTGTATACACCTGATATTACACCTGTTATATTAGCTGCACATCGAGATAATTATGAAATACTTAAAATTCTATTGGAAAGAGGTAGGAATATGGTTTTTATGCTTTTTTTTTTAAATTGAATTATGGAGAAAAAAAAAGAGATGTATACAAGATCATAGAAGAAACATTATTGTTGAATAATAAATTTTCTAGGATAAAAATAACACTTCATTGGTTGTATTCTAAAAAAAAACATCTACAATAAAAAAGAAATTTGAAATTTTTTCATTTTATAATTAAGAAAGCATTAAAAATTTCACTTTTACTCCATCGTTTTTTGCTATATGAAGACGAGAAGTAAATGAGAAAAGTTTCAATTGAGTTATAGACAAATTCACTGTTCTTTTCAATGAATAGAAGGCAATTAAGAATGAACTAAACTTTTATATATATATATATATAGAATATTATTCCACAAGGTTTTTTTTTACTTGTTTTCTCACATTAATTGTTTCAAAGAGTTCAAACAGTAATTCGAATAGAAAAATATATAATTACATACGATAATATGATTAGCAGATTCTCAGAGGCAAGGTTTCCAGAAAGTCAATTCCCTTAAGGTTTTAGCGTATAAAACGCGCAAAATATAATTTTATTTAAACTTCATAAAACAATAAAGAAAACAAAATTGGAACGTCTACGAATTTTGTAAGAACTTTTTTCACTGAGATGCAATATTCTAATTCAAAATATGAAATTAAATTGTTCATACATGGTTTTCAGGGCTTGTATACAATTGCTATATATCATTTAAAAAGGGTCATACAAAATTCGCTGATATCTTATATTGTAGAGAATGGTATTTCTTACTGCTGTATAAAAATTCAAATAGTGATTTATATAGAAAATTTTCGAAGATGAAAAGCGTTGTTAGTGTTCTAAAGATAAGATTTCTGAAAAACCGAAAGCGAAGTTTTTCATTTTCTAATAATCTGTTTGAATCACTCAGAATGATACAGTAAACAATTCTCTACAAAACAAAAATGTCTTCCAGGTGTCCTACAATGTTTATAGATCAAGATATATCAATCTTACGGAGCGCAAAAAAAATGATGTTTTTATACGAAGTAGCTGAAAAACGACTTTTGAGCGTTCCGTGAGATTGATGTATATCGGTTAAAAAATGTTGTAGACAGCTGGAAGACGTTTCATTTTGCAGAAAGTTGTTTACTATATCATTCTTGGTAATTCAAACAAAATTAAACGAGATGAAAAAAATTGGACTTTAGCTATTTCAGCAGCCTATCGTTGAAAAACGAGCAATCGTTTTCATCATTGAAAATTCTCTACACAAATGACTATTTGGATCCTTATATTACAGTAAAAAAAAAATTAAAGATAATTTTTAGAATCATTATATATATATAATCTAATGATAAATTGCTGTTACTGATGTTGAATCCATTTTTTCTTTACTCAGTTTATTCATTTAAACTGACGAAATTCAAATTACATGATTTAAAGTATTTTATGGGATACTTGGATTATTTTTTATTCGATTTAACCACAAGGGATTTTAATAATTCATCTTATATGTCGTCAAGGTTTCCTTTTCCGAAGAGAACAAAGTTGATGTATAGGTTTCATCTTTATCGTAAATCAAAACACCTTAACCCTCGAGATAATCCAATTGAATTACACATTATCTATAATATCTATCTAAAAGATGGGTTGAGAGTCTTAAAACAAAATGTTCATTTAGTTTTGAGTACCTTAAAAATATTTCCGAGGCATGAAAAGTTATGAGCTATGTTCAGTATTTTGTGCTCTGTTCAAATGTAGATTTAGAAATTTTCTTGAAACTAATGAGATGATTAATAATTTGAACGAATAATTGTTTTTTTCCGTGCACTTTTATACTTTCATTATTGCAACTTGGAAAAACCTTTATTAATATATCAGCTTTTAGAGCAGAAGTTAATCTATAAAATGTACTATTGAAACTTTTCCGCAGATGTCTTAAATTTTCATTTATTGAAAAATTAACTTTTTCGAACAAAAGGTGTTTAATAGAAGAAGAATCTCTTGGCAAAGTATCTTTAGTTTCACTTAGATAAAAGATACAGTTGAATTCAATATAAAATTTTGTAAAGAAGTATTTGTTCAACAATGCAACTGACTCGAATGTTTTTTGGCATCTTCGAAAAGAAACTTATTGAGATTAACAACAGTTTATTAGTTCATTATTCAATCTAATCTTTTTGAACATTTAAAACACTGCTTCACTAGTCTCGAACCAAAATAAACACAATATTCTGATGATTATCCATAATTTTTGACTTGTGTGTGACGAGAAAATATTGTCCACTAATCAATTACTTTTGAATTCAGACTCTGTACATATAGTAGAATCTAGTGAGATATAAACAAAATCTCGAAAGGATACATGCCCTTATGTCGTCTGTTGAGAGTAATGGGTATTTTATTAGAATTTTAGCCTTGGGCATTGCAAATACCAACAAATCGAATGATAATATTCCTTCTACAGATAGAAAGAACGCTTTCTCCTCAAGCTATTAAAGTCCTAAAAAGTCAATCATATTCCGTGAAAGTTGCTAGATTTTTCTGTTTTTTTTTTAAGGACTTTGATATCCTGGAAAGGAAATATTCTTTTGAGCTAAAACTTTCAGAACATTCTATTAATGAACAGACCTGTCTGTTAGCAAAATTCTCAGATCAAAATATCGTCATTCGATTCATTGGTATTTACTATGTCTGAAGCTAAAATTCCAGTAGAATATCATTAACTTTGGACAGAAGATCTAAAGGCACTTATCCTTTTGAGATTTTCCACATCTCACTGGATTCTACCTTATCTACTGAGTTCGAACCCAATTTTTCTGATCTTTCAAAGAAGACCTCATCACTCTCGAACAAAAACTGCAAATAAAAGTTCTAAGTTTATATTCGGAAAGTATAAAATCTGCTGACTCTAATCTATAAATTTTGACTACTCGGAAACACTTCCAAAATAGCAAAAAAATAAACAAATAGTTGAAGCTCATAAATTATTTGAATTCTCTTTTTTTTTGTCTATAGGAGAAAAAGTTACTGAACCTCATGATGTTCGTTGTGATTGTGCAAATTGTATTGTATATAATAAAGAAGATAGTTTAAGACATTCACGATCACGTATAAATGCATATAAAGCATTATCATCGCCATGTTATATATCATTATCAAGTCGTGATCCAATAATGACAGCATTTGATTTAAATCGTGAATTAAAACGTTTATCACGTATTGAAAATGAATTTAAACAAGAATATGAACAATTAGCCCAACAATGTCAAGAATATAGTGCTGCCTTATTAGCTGAAACACGTTCATCAAAAGAATTAGAAATTATATTAAATTATGATTCAGAAAATCCACCAGTATTATCAGAAACAACAGAAAAAATGCATTTATCTCGATTAAAATTAGCTATACGTTATAAACAAAAAAAAGTAAAACAAAAAAAAGAAAAGAAAAGAATAATGTTTTTTTTTTTATTATTTAATTAAGTTTGTTTCACATGCACATTGTCAACAATTACTTGCTTCGTTATGGTATGAAGGTTTACCGGGATTTCGGCGTCGTCATTCAGTTATTAAAATATTAATAACAACTTTTGTTGGCTTCCTTTTTCCATTATTATCGATCGCTTATTTATTAATGCCACGTAGTAGTATTGGTCGTATTATGCGACAACCATTTATTAAATTTATTTGCCATTCTGTTTCATATATTTTCTTTCTCAGTATGTATTTAATTATTGAAATAAAATATGTTTAAATCAATGAATTTTTGTTTTTTCTTCTTAGTTTTACTTTTCGTTGTTTCATTACGTATCGATTTTGCTAAAGTATTATCAGGTATTGAAGAAGAATCAAATGAAAGACGTGGTCCACCACCAAATCCAGTTGAAATAGCTGTAAGGAATAGATAATCATATTAATTAATTCGATATTTCTTGTTTTTTTTTAATATTATCTAAGATTATGTTCTATGTTGCCGGATTTATTTGGGCAGAAATAAAACAGCTCTACCAAGAAGGATTACATCAATATATGGTAAAAAAAAAAGAAATCTATTTATGTATAGAGAATTATTTAATTCTAGGCGGATACATGGAATTTATTGGATTGGGTTACAAATTGTCTTTATGTAGCTACTATTGTTCTACGTGTAATGGCTTATGTTAAAGTACGTATAAATGATTTATATTTGAAATCTAAGATAAAATAGAAAACAAGTAACCTCGATAAAGATATGCTTATGAGTGAAAACTATTAAATGTTTGAGTTTAAAATACTTCGGAAAACTTAGTAGATTATTCTTCTGATATACCTTGATCATGGACGATGGACAACCTATAAGTTCTTGTGATATATATTATTAGCAGATTAGTTTTACATAGACTGTTATTCTTTTCTTATCTGATTAGTTCATAATTCTATTTGTGTTATAATTAAAATAGGACGCATAAACAATAAAAATCAAATTGAAAACATAAACTAATTTTCAATTGATAATCTTATCGAATATTTCATTTTTTATTGAAAACAAAATCAATCTTTTCATGTCTTTAATGAAGACATTTCCTATGCGGTTCAAATCGGACAAAAACCTACATCGTCCAGTTGAACATATGATATGGGTTCTGTTTACAAAAAAAAATTACACGAGAAATGTATATCGAAAACTTTAGGATATCAAAATTAGAAAGTGATGTATCTAGTAAACGTTGCCTTTAGACACCTTTGGTTCATTATTCTATCAGTTTGTATCTGTAATCAGTAGCAGCAATGATGAATAATATCACATAGAAATTCAATCATCATCGCCAGTTATTTCATTTATTAATTCACAAAAAAAAAAATGAAGAGCTTTACTCTTATCAGATGATTGCATTTTCAAATTAAATAAAAACAAAACAATAACTACGAATAATTGAAAGTGTACACTTAATGAATATTCAGTAATTGTTCCTACTAATTTGTTACCTTGTAGATGAAGAAAAAGTAGAAGCTTGTGAATTTCGTGACAAAGTTTTCTCTTAACTTGTGCATAATTTCTGTTACAATATTAGTATTATCTAGAGATGTGCAGGATATGTTTTTTTCTTACCTTGTACTGAAACTAAGTCGATTATTCTTCATTTTGATATTTTCCTTTCTTACGGACAATGTCAAAAAAAATTTAATCAAACTTCTAATAATAATACATACTTCTGTTTTAATTCGATTTCTCTTTTCTTTTTTTTTTTGGAATTATTTATATAAATGAAATTTATTTATATTTAGGTTAATCAAGAAGAACGTGATCTTCAAAATAAATCAATATCTGTTAATGGTTCTCATAATTCATCCGGTGTACATCATACACATGATCATCATAATTTAACTACTGATCCAGCTAGTATTTCAACAGGTCATAATGTTCGACGACGAGATTGGAATGCATGGGATCCAACATTAATATCTGAAGGAATATTTGCTGCAGCTAATATATTTAGTTCATTAAAACTTGTTTATATATTTACTATAAATCCACATCTAGGACCATTACAAATATCTTTAGGACGTATGGTACATGATATATTAAAATTTAGTGTTTTAATATTACTTGTTGCATTTGCATTTGCATGTGGTCTTAATCAATTATTTTGGTATTATGCACGAATGAAAAAAAGTGAATGTGAACAAGATGTTGGATTTGATGAATATTGTGCAAAAGAAATTCATAAACATTTTTCAAAGTAATTTATTTTATTTAAATTATTTATTTAATAGGATATGAGTGTATAGAAAGTTTTTCATACGATTGAGATTTTAGCTGTATTGAACTAATAACTTATATTTCTCTCGATTTATGTTGACAAGTTTTTTTTATAGATTAAAACCTATTTGAACATCCCATTGGTATTCGAAATTGTAACTGATACTGTCGCTGATTTATGAGAGATACATTACAAAAAAAAAAAACGTCATTTTTTGTTTTTGCTGACATGTGCAAAGAAAAGGAAATTTTTCGACATAGAAAAAGCAACAGGAAAAGGATGTAATTAGTTTGTTTTATTCAACGTTTGATGTTCTATCAAACTATACAACTGATTTAAATATTATGTATACTATTTCCTCATTCGACGTCTACACTGTTTGACAGACACACTATTGTTTTTTTGTATAAAATAACACAAACTTAATTCCAGCTCTGCCTATCATAGAGTTGACGATGTTCAGGCTATATGAAAAGAAAAAGAATCCTTTTAGTAACAAACTGATGAGAAACTCTTCTTTCTTGTTAGCTTTGTTACAGAAAAAAGATAAGAAAACTTTCTAAAAAAATGGTCATAATAATCAATTGATAGAGTGATGATTTGAAAATTGTCAGTTGTAAAACTTTTCAATAAAGTGTTCAATTTGGGTCGAATATCCGTAATAGATATAACAACAAAAACCTCTATTAATGACAAAAATTTCAATCCTAGTCAAACTCATTCGAGAATTTGTTTTTTGAATACAATTTAAATGAATGAGTTACAGCAAGTAGAATCGAGTGTACTGTGACTTTTCTGACCTCCTGCCCGCCATACAGAGCCGAAAAAAATTATTTGAATCTTCTCAATTAGTAAAACAAATTTTATTGTTAAATTAAACTAAACAACATAAAATATACAGAGTCATACGAGACAAATTTTTTCGTGTCTTGAATCTCGTTAACTGCATCAATTGCAGAAGCCGACTGGTTGCTTTTTACTTGCTTAGCTGCTATGACGAATTTTTCTTTTGGTTCTTGTTCTTGACGCATTAGTTACGGCTCAAGTTAATTGCTCGCTCTCCACACATAATTACCATTTTGAAATGAAAAAATGTTTGCCGAGATCGTGAGACTATGATGAATGCACATCTGAAATCCGTTTTTCATAAACTCGATTCTGTTTGGAAGCTACAAAAATGTGGAAAACAATAATTAACAGCTGAGAGTTTCCTTATATAACAATAGTCGGTTCAGATTTATTATCTCTTAACTTGTCAGCTAAGTCAAGATAGCTGAACGCAACTGAAATTCATTATGATTTTCTCAACAGAAGTCTAAGATTTAGAAATGGCATAAATCAGATGGGATCACGTTCGGACATTTTTTGGAATCGCGCAGTCAAGTTCTTTTTTTTGTTGTTGTATATTTAAATATGAAGATATTTGTTAGAAATAAGAAAAATTAAAATGTACGATACGTTTTGATATAAGGATTCAAAAAAAATTTGGAATATTGGTTTTCTTCTATATTTGTTTCGAAGGAGTCTCGTAGAATAAAATATACTACTAAGGAATTCTTTAAATCTACTTCCAGTTTTTCATGCAAATCGTACCAAAAAATTTGAAATTCACTCAAATATATATATATATATTTTTTTAAAATAGTCTTTTTGAGTCTTTGCAAACACTGTTTTGGGGAACGTTTGGTTTAATTGATTTACAAACTTTTCAAATATATAAAAAACATACATTTACAATGTTTATTGGCTTACTTATGTATGGAGTTTATTCATCAATAATGATTATTGTTTTACTTAATATGCTTATTGCTATGATGAGTAATTCTTATCAATATATAGCTGTATGTTTTGTGTTGCTATTTTTTTCTTAATATATATTTAGTGTTTTTATTTCTATATTTAGAATTCAACTGAAACAGAATGGAAATTTGCACGGTAAAACAAAAAAGAAATTTTAAATTTTTGCATGTTTATTTTTTTTTTAGTGCGAAACTTTGGATAAGCTACTTTGAAGATGGCTGTACTTTACCACCACCATTTAATATTGTTCCAAGTCCAAAATCAATTTGTTATGGATTTGTATATATTTATAGTAGAGTATTTGGTTGTTCAAAAACACATTTAAGAAATCGATGGCAAAGCATTAAGGTATAGTTTATTGAATTTTTCTAAATGATATTAGTTAAATTTTATTCGATTCATTGATATGTTAGAATATATCAATATGAGTATATGAGAATACACATTTGTAGAAAAAAATATATCAATGATGGAATATTGCAAAATAATAAATCATTTTTGAGATGAATTTTATATCTGATTAGCTAGATTAAGAAACACAATAAAGATCTCATATTCATAAGTCTTTCTTTATTGAATTGTTCAATAAGATGTTCTAATCGTCTTCAACATTACATAAATAAAGTTCTCAATAAGACTACTTCGTTGTAAAAGCATCCGGTTTTCAAATATCTTCTATATCAAGATGTTAATATTGAAAAATTTGTCCTTAGATTGATTTTTCAGGATATTAAATACTAATCGGAAGTATAATCGTTTTACAATGAATTATTTTCATTGGAAACTTTATTGACTGAACAATTGAATTCAAAAGTTAATTTTTGAATATGAGCAGAAAGGAGAATACAAGATTCTGTTGACTAATGCTCCCTTAGTCAAGTTTCATTGTAAGATAGTAAAGAGAAAACAGAAGTATTCCATTGACGACATATTATGCTTTTCATCTTCATCTTGATCTAGAGGAGAAAATGTATATCGATGAAAGAATAGGGAACTACTAGATTATATTGTATCTCATGAACAAAGCAAAAAAATGATCTATCGAAACAACAAGAACTATAACAATAGAAAATGAGTGACAGTATTTTTCATTGCCAATTGTTTTCAGCATTTATTTTGCATTATTTTTTGCCAATAAAGTGTAGGCGCTACTTCAGGCCAACGATAACCTCGTCTTCACTCTGTGGTGTTCTCCATTGGCAATCACATCAATTACTCAAAGGTATCGTTGGCTTGGATAGAACCAAAGTATAGTGTACAAAACAAACCAAACTTTTCGTACTTCTCTATATCAACAACATTGTAGCACCTGCTACAGCTCGTTGGGTTGCTCTCAGATCCGAGAACTTTGGACTCAACAGGTCCTAGTACTCACACTCTTTGATGTGCTCTGCCAATTAGACCAATTAGTGTAAAAGGTATCACCGATCTGGAGAAGACTCATCGTGTAGAAACCCCCTAGAATATATAATGAAAAATCATTACTCAAAAACTTGATAATGAAAAGTATTTTTTTGTCACGGCAAAAAAATATGAACTATTTATGCGTGAAAGACGAAGTCTGTAACACCACGGTATCGATCTGGATCTAAAGCTTGTCCATGTGATTCCTGATCTGAGGAATTAAGTAACTGAATGACTGTGAAAAAGTTTTATTTTTATTTAATTCTAGAAAATAATCAGTAAAATCAATGAACGTGAAATAAAATATCAAACTGTTATACGTGAATTAGTTAAACGTTATATAATGAAACGTCAACAAAAAGATCAAACTGAAGGTGTAACAGAAGACGATTTAAATGAAATAAAACAAGATATTTCAGCATTTCGGTATATAAAAATCAATTAATAATCTTCATTTTAATCTATTAATTCATATAAATTTTTAGTTTTGAATTATTGGAAATTTTGAGTACGAATGGATTTAAAGTACAATCAATGAAGAAAAATCCAGGTTAGTATATATATATATATACATTCATGTTTTAAATTTAATAAAAAAAATGAATATCTTAGAAACAGGCAAATTCGAACCAATAGAGGAAACCATAAGATGTGAGAATATTTGCTGTGAATACTTTCTGCATGGTTTTTTTTTTAAATTCTCATCGAAAACTTTATCTTAAATTTGTGGTCTTTTTCTTTTAATTCTAGCTGCACGTGTTGGTCGAAAACGTGGTAAAATGAATTTAGAAAAAACTATTAATAAAAATATGTTTGATATGTCAACATCGATACGGGATAAAAATCCATTAGAAACATCTGATTTAATGAAAAATGAGCAATCTGATACATTAACAATACCCTCAACATCTATATTATCACATCCAAAACAAAGATTAACAGCACAATTTAAACGTGCTATAACAATGATTAAACAACGAAGTGAACCAGCATGTGAATCATCTCCACCACAATTTCAAACATCAATATCATTAGCAGAAAAACCAAATAATTCATTCGATGGAAATTTTTTAACAAGTTTAATTGAAGAAACAACACATGATAATAGTTCTCTTTCATCAAGAGAAATTTTAACATCAAAATCACAATCATTTGTACAACTTAAACCATCAATGATACATTCATCATCAACTCAAGATACAGATTCAAGTGGTACAACAGCTGCTACTGTTATTGCATTCGATTCAACAGCACGAATGAATCATCAAAATCAAAATACATCATCATCAAATATTAATAAATCAAATTTACAAAACATTCAAACTGGAAATCAACAGTCTATAACACTACAATTATCATCATCATCTTCAGCAACATTAAGTCCAACACCAGTATCATCAATATCAGCTACAGGTGAAATAGCGATTTTCGAGACAATCTTGTAATCAACTATTTCTTCCCTATCTTCTTCATATACACTATGTACATATTTATATTCTGTTTCATGTTTATATCGTTTTCGTATTATTCGCCGATGTTACCTGATATTATGTAAGTGTTATGCTGTGTTACTGGAGAATTTCTCTTGCCGATGCTGAGTAAAAACAAAAACGATGATACAGATATAAAATCCATTTTTAACAATCTCTATTAAGACTTATCGGTAGAATTGGTCAGTTTGATTCCCGTCAAAGTTCTCTATGAACCTTTGTTCTATGTATTTTAGTTTTCTTTTATTTGAAAGAGTGTGTCAGGCTACGGAACGTAACAGCTCTCTAATGTTTGAAGCAAAGAATGACAATAAATAAGAGTTTTAGAAAAAAACAATCTTTCAAACGTTGCAGGCTGATATGCTCTTTCTCAAACCAAAAGAAAAATAAAATACATAGAGTGTAGATCTACAAAGAATTTTGAATCGTCAAATTAACTATTTTTGATCTTTGTTTGACGAATATTTCACGAAACCGAGTTGAAAATTCCACTAAAGCCTCTTTACTACATTCGTAACATATTCTGAAATTTTCATGCAATTTAAATATTTCTGAGTCAAAATTGATTTTAAAGAAAAGATCTTATCAACTTGATTGTTATATGATTAAGAGAGTTAAGTCATTGGTGATGTTATATCACTTTCTAAATCGATTAATTTTTGAGCTTTTAATAAGAAGTTACGGCTAAGTTAGTGAATGATCTTTACAGAATGAATGCTTGTCTCTATAAACGATGAAATGCCAAGAAAAAGAAAGTCTTGTTAATAAAAAAAAAAAAGGTTCAATTCGATACTTCTCGAAACAATAGGCAAATGTATCATAATCATAATATATCAAGTATAAGTCCGAAACAAAGATTAATTAATCAGTATTATATTAACAATTTTCTATTTTAGAAAAATAATCATATAGTTTTTTGACACAATGTTTATATATCCACTGAGAGAGTAAATACTTTTCCTAATCTTTTTGAGTTCAAAATCGAAATAATTGCTCGAAGTCTCACTTGTTAAAAAGTAATTATTACTGAATGTTTATATTCTTTATTATCACCTTTAAAATATTATTTTCGAATTCCGATCAAGTTATTGACAATTCATATTTCACATAGGAGTGCATCGAGATCATCAAGATTGATGACTCAAGAAGCCAATTGGAAGATTTTTGAGAATTCACTTCCGCTCAGGACATCCTTGATGCGTCATGTCAATATAAATTTTTTAAGTATAATTAAGCAAGGATAACAGTACAGTTTTGTAGTTGATTAATCCTCTGATGATCGGCGATGCATATATGCATCCGGAGCTTTATTATCGCATAAAATCATTGTAACCAGTTATAATACATATGTTTTATTTACATATGTGTCAAAGGAAACAGCAAACAGTAAAAGTTTTCCTCATTATCATTTTATTACGGTTTACATTAGACTCATGCGTTAAGAAACGAAAACATGTGTGATGTAAAGCTATTCGATTTTGCGTATGTGTATTTTTTTTTTGTTGATAAGCAAAAGTTTAATAAAGAATGAAAATGATGTTCTATATTCAATAGTTTTTTCTTTTTTGTATACAATTAGAATTTTAACCTATATATCTTTTTTTTTTGTTTTTTAGCATATTTTCGATCGTTACGTGGAGGTCGTGCACCAATGGCTTCTCCTGATCCACTATCCGTAACTTCTGACGAGAGTTGTAACACTCCTGATTTCGATGCCTTGTGATTTCAATCCGATGATGAAACAATGATTCTTTGTTTTTATTTCTTTGTGATATGGCTTCTTTTGTTTGTTTTCGGACAATAATGAAATATTGTTATATGCAAATACAACATATGATGCCTCGATTTTTCTTTGTACACATTTTGTGTGCGCGCCTGTGTGTGTGTGTGTGTGCTGTGCTTCTTTTTTTTTTCTTTTTTGTGAGTTGTCCATTATCAGATAATGTATCAAATATTAAAAGTATAGATTTAATATACATCTCATGTTGGCCTTTTTCGTTCGCTTGCTATCTGTATTGTGTTTGTTTTTTTTTTCTTAAAATTGACAAAAAATGAATTATTTTCACAATATGATTATATCAAATTCAATTCATATCTTTTCATTATTTTATTCTAACCATGTTATATATATAAATATATATGCATAAACCATATTTTTTATGATGAAGATATGTTTGTGATGCAAAAATCATAGACTAAACAACAGATATTGGAAATTGATAAATTAATGTAGATATAGATTTATTGGAGAGATAATGTATAATTGTTGTTAACGTTTGTTGTATTCTGGATACGTGTGTTTGCGAAGTAATTCTAAAAGAAGAAAAAGATTAAGATTAATGTAATCGAAGAATGTTATAGAAGTCTAAACACTCATAAAGAAATAATCGTTTTATGGTCTGTACATTAATCTTTTCTTAATGAGTACTCATAGATTAGAATCGATAGACAACAGAATTCTAACCAGATATGATCTCGACTGTAATTCTATAACTTATCTGAAGAATCATTCATCAAAATTTGGTATTTAAATATTAGAATTAATGTTGTTCTTTTGCCGAGAAAATGAACTTTACAATAAGAACTACATCTTTATATTAAAACAATTTTAATCTTGTACGAGAATCTGTCACTTCTTCTTGTTCTCAAAAAAGAAAAGAATCCTTGGAAACAATATATTAATAAAATCTTCTAACAAACAGAGTATTGTTCGAATAGTTAACCTTGTTGTGTATTGTTATCTTCATCAAATTCATCAATATATCGACGCCAAAGTCGTAATTTTGCCAATGTATCATGATATTCTTTCGTCTATTTAATGAATAAAAATTTATAAAATTAAAAAAAAAAACATTCTTCAATCTTACTCGATCTCCATATCGACTAGGATCAATTAATACATGATATTTTATTGGACGTACTGCATCTATGAGAGCATTTCAAAGTTAATTTCATATTTCTCAGAAAATTCTATATACCTGCTGTATTTCTAAACAGTCCATATGTAGAACATGATGATAATATAACAAGAAAAATAATAGATATATTTATGAAGAAAAAAAGACGATTTTCTGCCATCGATGTTTCGTATAAGGATAATAATGAACTTGTTACTTTCTTCGTGTATAAAATATTTAGCATAATTTTATTTCCCGGATTATTAAACATGATTGACATCTATTAATTATTAGTTGCCTATTGTTATTGACATCTATTTAGTCATGCAAACATTCTTTACATTAAAAACTAATAGGAAATTATATGAAAGTCATGTATGCAATAAAATATGTCATAGCATGATTTTCTGACAGATATGTATAACATAATTCATAAGTTAAAAAAAGACGATAAGTTGTTATCTTTTTGTTTTTTTGCTAAATATGTCACGTATATATCTTGCCAGACATACGGAAGTGAGAAATATTTTTCAGCAGCCTCAATTTTCTTTTTTTTTTATAACATCAAAGCTCAAGCTGATGAAATGACATTGTCATTTGACAATTGAGTCAGATTATAAAGTTGCGATATTCTGTCTACGTGTTACTGCTACATCATCAATAATCAAGTCCATGATCTTCACGCCATATTGTTAATCGACTACTAATATTTATCGAACTTAATTTTTGCGAAAAGTTAATAAAATTGTTTTCATTAGAAATCATTCATATTGACAAAATTATTTGATTCTCGTATTAGAAATATATTTTTTTTAGTTAATAATGATTAATATAAGTTCGTTCACTTTTTTTTAAAGCATCATTAATTTTAACTGTAAAAATTTCTAGTTGAAAGAAGAAATATATATATTTCTTTTTTTTTATGTGAATCAATTTGTGCAAGTATAGAGAGAAGTTATTCATCCAGATAAAGTAAGAAATGAAATTTCGCAAAATGGTAAATCGTTTTCTTAGATTATTCTTATACTTCATTAGGTCAGCCCGATTGAGATTAGAAAAATTCTAAGACAATATGTACCCGTAAAAGACTGATTTTTAGTAAGTTTTCCATTCAGTTTATCTTCGATATTCAATTTTAAATTCAAATATTGTACCAATAAAATTCTCAATGAGACAAATTCATTGTAAAAGTATTAAACTTCTTGGTTTTTAACATTCTGAATAATAAATATAATAACAAAGTTTTTTTTTGTGTGGATGACTTTTCAATATTGATATCTTGGAATAGAAGATAATAGAAAATCGAATATTTTTAGTTCCGCTGAGAATTTTATTTATGCAATGTTTTAACACGAGCGTTGATTATGAAGGGGGACAAAACATTTTATTGAACAACTCATTAAAATAGTCATAAGTCAAGAAGAAAGACTGATGAGAATAATTCTTCTTTTTAGAACTTTCTCTATAATCTACAGTGAGTTAACACTTCGCAAAGTTTCATCATCAGTATCTTGTAGAAATCAAATATTCTCATATTATTACAATTCATTTAGTCAATCGGAATATGAAAATAAATAATCATTTGACTAGGTGATCAATAGTTTAGACTTAAATATGTATCACACACGATAAAGAATCATTCAGAGACTTGAAAAATAAAAAAAATTCCATTAAAATGATAAAGCGAACATAGAAATTGGTTTACTTCAAATCCACTAATAAGAATGAACATTTTCATCAATTGAGTTTCATAATTTTGATAAAAAAAAAATTTTCACTCCATTTGCTTGATTAGATGATATATTAATTAAGCAAATGGAATGAAAAATTTTTTTTTTATCAAAATTATGAAACTCAATTGATAAAAACGTTCATTTTTATTAATGAAATAGAAGTACATCAGTTTTTATATCTGCTTCATCATGGAAAATGACATTTTTTCCATGCTTTGGATACACAATTCATAAAAGTCATGAAGTTTGGTTCATTTTTTAATTGCATGGGCACTCGACTGTATTACTAGTGAATGAGACCAAAATGGATAGATTTTATATGTTCCGACCAACAATGATATTCGAATATATGATATTAAACTAAAATGTAGTGTACCTTACGATAAAATATATAATAAATTCTGTAGGTATTAATCAAATCTACTTGTGAGGGAACCTCTTCAGCTGTCTTGTTCCGATTTCAATGTTTTTTTTTTGTCTATAAATAGCAAATAGTGTTTAAGTAAACATCCTACAAAGATTAAAGTTCTTATTACGATTCCACTAAGCTATCGAATTTTGATCTGAAAGTTCGCGCACATAGAGAACTCAATTGAATTAGCTTTCTTTAAAAAATTTCAGAAGTTCTGAATAAAGCCTGTTCAAGATATGAACCTTTCAAAAAATGCATGTTGTATACATTACTTCATAATACAAGTTCAATGTGAATTCTTCTATGAAAGTTAGTCTAGTTGAGTTCTCTTTATGCGCAAAGTTTCGGATCAAAGTTCGAAAATATGAGTGCTCCGACAACTTGAGACCTCTAGAAAAAAAATTCAATTGTTTAATTAAATTTCAGTAAGAATCCAAATCTTTGAAATCATAATTTGAATATATATGAATGTGAAAAACGTTGCAGTACTATTCATTCAAATGTATATATTCATCAAGTTTTATAATATCAAAACTTTTGAATACTCGTTTGTTTGATAATTATTTAAATAATCTTTTTTTCTTGTGTTAAACTATTGGAGAAAGAACTCTGTGAGAAATACTCGATGTTCAATCGAGAGAGAATGAAATTGCACGTGTGTTCATGTAAAAGAGATTTAAATAGTGTTCAAGTTCAGAGTAGGGAGATATTTATTAAAACAGATTTCGCTATAAATAAAGTTAGTATCAACTCTATGTTTAGTTTCGATTGAAATGCTTCAAAGCAGTTCAATCTTAAACATTGACTTATGAAGAAATGTTGTTAAGTGTGATTTGCCAATCGAACTGACATTTTGCTCATAGATAAGTCTCGTGGACCATAAAATGCATTGGAAATTTCAGCCGAAAAGAATATGTTCTTCTTGAGATATTGAATATTCAAAAATAATCATATATTACAAGGAAAGCCGAATATTTTCAATATCTCAAGAACAATACATTCTATTTGGGTTAAGATTTTTAGAACATTCTAAAGTCTACGAAATCTACCTATGAATAAAACTTCATGTTGAAATGTCTTAATTCATTTTGCCCATAAATACCATGCCAGAGATTAAAAAACATCAGTAATATTGTAATAGCTTCAGAAGAACAGTGCGTGGGAACGAATATTTATAGACTTCTACTAGTCTCCTCAGGACCTACTTATGAACAAAATATCAGTTCTATTAGCAAGTTATACTTAACGACTTTTCCCCATCAGTGTCATCCATAAAGTCACGTTCTTTAAAATATGTAAATACAGAATAATTGATCGTGTCATATACATGTAGATTGAAGTCTTAAATAAAAGACTCAATGAGGGACGGCCTACTTTTATGGTAAAGTCTATGACACTATTGCTGATTATATGTTTACGTTCTATTGATTTCTGCTACTACATAATCTACATGATGTTATACAGTAGAAAGAAATTATCAAACTAAAAACACTAATACTTCTATCAGTTGAAACTTTCCTTTCAAAGATTGTACGATAGGCATGCATAAATTCGAAGAGAAAATATATTATGTAAATACAGCTACATTTATTGAGAAAACTATTTGTAAAATAGAAGTCTCGACATAATTATGAATTGAAAAAGAGCATCAAAAATGATTTGAAAGTAATAATGTAATACATGTTATAGATCCTTTTTTTTATTTCTTGCTTTATTTTAAATAAATCAATTAAAGTTTCAATCTTATTTTCATTATTATTATGGTAAAAATCTCGATAAAATGACCGCCGAGAATATGAATAAAGGTTTTAAAATCGTAATGAACAATATTTTGTTGAATTGTATTAGAAAAAACAAAAACAAAAAAGCTCAATTAGCTTTTTTACGTAAAACCCACTGATGAAGTAAAAAGTCATATTTAAGAAGACGCGGTCGTAATTTATTTTTATTTCTGGTGTGTGGTGAAGGTTGGGTTAATTCAGATTGACGACGCCATTCGAATTTATCTTCAATATTGTTATTGTCGTTGAAAACCTATAAAATGACAATAATTTAATTTATTATTTTTGTTTAAAATTTACTATTTGTAGATCATCATTTGTAAAACCTCAAATGAAATAAAATATCAATATAAAATTAATAAAAAGAAATTTTTGTTTTTTGATCTTACCAATTGTTAATGAAGAATTAATTGTAAGGATTAATAATACGATTATGCATATGAATGTTTGATGATCCATATTCTACGATAAACTATATCTCACTGAATCTTAAATCAAACGAAAAAGAAAAAGTTTGATTATATTTTTTTGTTTTTTTTTCTTATAGTAAATCTTATGAAATTTTTGATACTATCGGCTAAGTACACCTCCGTTTGTTTTTTCATAAGAAGGAGAAAAAAATAATGTAAGATGTTGTTACTAAAACTTATTGTTGGTTGTAATAAAAATATACCATTGTTAAAAAAGTCCCTCATAAAAAAAAACATGTATTTATTCAAGGAGAAAATAAAAATTTTCAACTTGCATTTTAAAAAATTCTTTGATGTTTTCTTTTCTATTTTTTAGCAGATACAAATTTCTATTATAGAGAACTAATTACTTCCAAGATGAAATCAAGTTGTTGCTTTTTTAAGAGTGCATGAGTCTTGAAGATTCTAATTTGGTATATTATTTGTCGTCAAATTACTTGAGATACATACAAAATCATACATCTTAATGTGGCTATCTGAACTTCAATAGTTTCTTTTTTTATAGGACATATAATTTCCTTTTAACATATTTAATCGTTTGTACCTGATAGACAAAATGGAAAGATTTACAATTTTTAGGCTTAACGAAAGCAACGTCTTTATAGTTTAAAAGACTTAAACATGCAAGACTATAAAATACCCAACTAATTAAATTATAATGTACTAATAACTAAAGGCTTTTTGTCCTCAAAAAAAGTTCATTTTTGTCTGATATATTGACATTAATTTAAATGCATGAGATGATAAATTGAAGTAGGATTGTTGACAAATGATACGATTTATTATTTATAACAGTGACTTTTTTTTCAGAAAAAGCAACAAATATTTTTCGTTTTTTTCTCTCATGTTTTTATGCTTTTCTGTTCACGTATCTCAGAATTCTCGAAGGAGCGTCATAATAACCAATTGCTTTTTATTTCTTTAAAAGAGCATATGAATTTGAAAGTACCTGACAAAATGTATTTTTTTTGTATTCAACTTTTTAATTATTGTATAAAGATTCACTTGTATAAATAGATAATCATCTTTTAAAGGTTTTTAACATATTGAACTATTTATTCTTTTTCTCCACAAAAAAAATCAACACTTTACAACGAAAGAATCTGTTAGAAACTACTGTATGACATACTATTTTACATTTAAATATATATATAGAATGAGAGCCCACAGAGAATTTTCGGTTGTCAAATGAACTATTTTTGACCATTGTTGATTAATATCTCCCAAAGACATCATGGATTAGGGCTGAAAATTTAACTATAGTCTCTTTCACATATTCTGACAATGTCATACATTCTAAAAGAACCTTCCCAAGATAGATCTTTTAGAGTTTGAGGCATTAAATATGTATGAATGATTGAAGAAAAGCTTTATTTGCAGATTGGATTAAATATGTAGATTGAATGATAATATCAAGAAAAAGATGTGTTATTAACTATCAATATGTATTGTACTAATGAAAAAAACATAGTCTCATCAATATAGTTGAACATGATCTGTAAATAACAGACATGATGAGTTTTACATCAAATAGAAGTCTATTAGAACTGAGATTTATTGATAATACAGATGGCTTTTATTTGCTGGCAATATTGAATAACTTTTAGATTGAGTTCAACGCACAGCAATCGAAGATCATCAGACATAGAGAATGCTCATTATGCTGTAAGAAAAAAAAAGATTCTGATGATGTCACCTTAAAAAATGTTTTAGCAAATCTCTGTTTACCATTTTTTAGTGCTGTTGAATAGAGCACATCGAGTTACATATGAAAAACTAATATATAGAAATAAGTTGTTTCTGGAAATATGAAAAAAAGACTAAATTTTAAATGTTATGATTATAGTCGTCCATTGTCATAGATATCTGAGTTTCACTTTGTGGAACATTATTAATGGAAGTGTTTGTGATTCTGCAAACAAAATTGACTAAAAAGAAATTTCTTCACATAAGATTTCGTTTGATCAATTTTGTCTGCAGAATCTGTTTCACAAAATGAAAATTACATATTTGTGATAATGGACAACTCTAATCATGATATTCAGAATTTAATCTTTTTTTCGATATTTTCATGAAAAACTTGTCTTCAAAAATTAGTTTTGTATAGGTAGTTCTATGAGCTTTATCCAACGACACTAAATAAATTGCAAAAAAAATTGCTAAAATTTTGAATTTCTGGTACCTTATTCAGTAGAAAATTGGGATTGAATATTTATTGTCTAACTAGTTTCAATTAAATAAGAAACTAAACATAACCATTTTGTTTTTTCAGCTCTTATAACATGCGGTGCAAAAGTCTTTGCACAAATGTCAAGCTCTCTTAGACCGTCTTGCTAACTTCTAAATCAGGCAAACTCTTTTTGGCTGAAAGAGCAAAGTCTGAGCTACAAATTTTGCACCAGACATATTTTCACAGAATGGATCTGAGAAAGAGGAAAAGACAAAAAGCAAACACCTCTAAAAACATCCTTGCAAGTTCACAATCGAGGAACATCATTTTCCATTTTCTATTAGTTTCTTTTCGTCAGAAAAGAAATAAGAAAACACGTTAAATGATGATTTTTCTAGCATGAAGAGTGTTCTTTCCAATGGTATATTGGAAGTTAAATTTACTCTTGGCTCTTGTAGCAAAAGTTGACTTTGTCTGAAAGAGACTAAATAAATTGATCATTCTTACTACCTACTCGTTTCACAAAGATAAAGAATATTTTCTGAACTATTTCTTTTGTGCAAGACTTCTACTATCTGATATATTTCGAATAAATGACGTAAAAAAAGATTCAGTTCATGCATGATTTCCGAAGATGATGGTTGA